TAATTGAGGTAAAGAGTTGAAACTTGGAGGATACTCTTAGGTCAAAGGGAGCTACTTTTTGGCCTCCAAAGTTTAAAATGGCCGAAAATTGTCACCTCGGTTTTTTGCTGATGGATTTGCCTAAAACTTGGAATTTGAGAGTATTTTGGCATAAGATAAACAAATTTGAACTTAGATTTCTGAAAAATCAATTTTTTATCATTTTGAACTTTAACCGGCGGCCATTTTGGAAATTTCGGTTTTTTTGAAAATCTAACGTCAAATTCGTTTTTCTCGTGTCAAAATACCCCTACATACCGATTTTCGCGCAAATCCATCGAGAAATAACCGGTGTGAATTTTCGGCCATTTTGAACTTTAACAGGCCGCCATTTTGAAACGGTTTGAGATATTGACTTCGGGTTTGCGCGAAAAGTTTTCTTTTTTTATGCTCTCTCGAACGAGCTATCACAAAGGGGGTCTTTCCATTTGAAAATTAAAAGTTGGGGGCCGTTGCCCCCCAAGGGGCGCCCCCCTGAAAATTTTAGGGGGGCCAAAAAGTAGCTCCCTTTGACCTAGGAATATCCCCCAAGTTTCAAATCTTTACCTCAATTAGGTAAAAAGTTAGAGGGGGTGGAAGGGACTTTTGGATCACCCTGTAGAAGGAAAGGGTGTGTTTGATGAAAAACGTTTGTTGTGTTGTTCGTTTTCAATTAAAAAACCGTGTCACTTGATGTCAGCTATTGGATCTAGAAGATTGATCTGTACCATTTTCTATTTTTACCGTGGATTCCATATTTGACACGAGAATTCACGACGGCATTTGAAACTACATTAATGTGTTCATCTTAAGTTATGAGAGGGTTTCCATGAGAGACGACTCTAATTTTTGTCTCAACTGGAGTGTGCATAATGAACCCATTTTCGAAGCCAATCAAAGGTTTCCAGCGCCTTTCATTCCTCGTTTTTACTACAAAAATATCTCCCAGGCACGAATGGTTGCTCTGAAAATTATGCTCAGCACGTCCCTATATTAAAAGTGAAGTTCAAAAGATACTTACTTCCTATGCATGTGTGCAACTTTTTGTGCTTAACAGACGTCTTTGAGTAGTGTTAGTATAACCGAAGGATCGAATTCGCTCTGTCATTATGTATTCTCGCATAACAACCCGGTGCTTCCACCCCGCGCCGCGGATGAAGCTGTAATCGCCGCCGAGCGCCTGGAGAATCAAAACGCCTTCACTTTATCGCGTATGCAACATGGACATCCGTAGAGCTCGAATAGTTGTATGCAGGCGTTACAATGATTGCTTTGTGTTCGTTGCATGCTGTACCAGCTGAGGGTGCGTTGCTTGTTTTTCTGAAGTAGCACGGGCGCATTCTAGTAGGGCGTGTTTTAAGGGACTTATTTTGTGGAATCCATTGATCTCAGAGTCACAGTTTTTGCATTGAGGGTCACTTCTATATCATTCGTCATACAACTCCAGCGTCAGTCACAATATAGAATGAAAAGGCCAGTAAACCAGGTCTGGACTGAAAAGAATATCACATGCCTTTTCTTCAAGTAGAGGGTGATTCACAAATTAGGTTTGGTCGGGTGTCAGCTCCCTAACGAGTTAGTTACAGATATTTTTCACTTTTCGACACAAATCAGATGGAAGCTAAATTATACAAATGATTTACTTTGTACCGCATGCATCTTGTTTAGGAGTTTATTTTCTGACTTCCCATTGCGCGATTCGGTTTTTTTTTTTTTTTTAAATTAATTGTTGAAGAGAATACATGTTATGTAGGGCTGAAATTCATACCTCGATTAAAGGCTCATTCAAAATTCTATGATTGGTAAACAGCACTTTTGTGGGAACAGTAAAAGCTGGGTTCCGCAACTCAGGTTTTTTGTTGTTATTCAGCTGCTCTCCCACACATTGTCAGTAACAGCTAATTTTACGTCATCCGTCATTCACCATTGAAATCTCAGGCCGAGTGAAGAAATTTCTCAGATAATTTGGTATCAAAAAGAGGAAGATAAAAATTTTACCCCGATCAATAAGTTTATTTCTTCAGGAAAGTTTTAGTAAAATTTTGAGAGAAGACCGCACCGAGGTGAGAAAGACCGCCACAGCGCAGAATCTTAACTTTACAGATAGGATGAACTCTCCAACATGTTATTTTATTTTGCTACAAGACAGTCGATTGCATTCTTCAAAACTTCATCGCTAATTAAACTGTTAAGCAGTGTACATGGCTCGAATCAAGGCTCCCTGATAAAAATTGGCAGTAGAATCTCTGTTCCAAAATACCATAGACCTACAGCCGGCTGTAAGATTTCCAATAGCTTCTACAGCCGGCAACACAATTTCTTATAGCCTTTTATAGCCGATGGCGATTAAGCAACAGCCTGGCGATAAAGTGTATGCTAAACGTTACTATGTATTTACGGATGCTAGGAGTTAGTGAGTTATTGGACTACCGCTGTCTTTTTGGGCCGCAGTGTCTTAATTTAATTTGCGAGGAAAGCTCCGTACTTTTGAAGGGTGCCTGCCATTCCTAATATGTTGGAGCGCCTTCAATTTCGTATGATACTGTGCAATACTCTGGTGTGAAATAGTTGCTTCAAGCGCCGCGCGCGGCGGGCGGGCAGCCAGCGCTGAACGCGCATTGGCGCCTACAAACCTAACAGGGATACTTCACGCGTTGCGCAATGCGTGAAGTATCCCTGTTAGGTTTGTAGGCGCCAGTGCGCCGCCGCTCCGCTTTGTGTTAGGCTCCAATATTTAATCTCGCGGAGTTAGCGTTTTTCAACTCATGACTTTGAAATGTTTGCACACTCTGTATGTATTATTCTCATTTTAATTGATGAAAAAAAATGTGTGGTAAAGGAAAATATAGTGTTACACGCTATTAGACGCTACAAGGTGCTTGCAAAAGTAGGAACGTGATTTAAAATTTAAAAGGTTTTCAGAGGTACTGTTACACCTTGTCGGGTTTTCATTTTTTAATACACACGCTAGGGGCAATTCCATAATGATGACCTCAGATGACGTCATAAAACATTTATGGTCAACACACATTATAGAGGAGGCCGATTATTGAATAAGGGATTTGACGAGACTCCGCTGAGGTTAATTGAAGGATTCGGGGGTCCTTCCCCAGAAAATAGAGTAAGAAAAGTTATTTGAAAGCATCAATGCTCAATATTTCAGACTGTACTTAAGTATTCGCCTTAAATGGTATCATCTCAACAATTGTACAAGTTCTGAGGTTTTTCCTCAAACTCAATCTATTTTTTAAACCATGAATTGATAAGTAGCTAAAATTCACTCCACCGCGACTGCCTATTAAGTTCCTCCTTTTTGAGATCTCTGTACCCACTTGAACACGGATCCTCCTGATTTAAAAGTACTTCATGAATTTTTATTCACTAAGCCTAGTTCACACGTGGATTTAACGTTGCTCAGTTTTTGAGCGAAAAAAAATACCTTCATTTCAGGAGTATCCTTTCAGAAATTTTACGTAAATATGATATTCAGGCAAACAATGTTCATTTGATGGCTTGAAGTATTGAGCCGAATAAAAAAATATTTACAAGGATTCACTTTTCAAGTGCATATAGATTACATAACCTAAAATTGATTTTTTCAATCATGAAGCGCTTTGATTTAAAAAAATTGCATTGATATCAGTCCTATTGAGGCATGATTCGTCACCTAAGTTCCTTCGTAAGTTAGGTATTTTTGACCTTACCAGAGCAGTGGCGTGGCGTGCTTTGCGATATATCGATTGTCATGCCATTTAAACCTATGGGAAAGGATCGATAAACAGGGTGTTCGCAACGAACACCTTAATGATCGATTCTTTACCATAGGTTTAAATGGCATAACAATCGATTTATTGCAATTATACGTCACTATATCACAGGGGTGAGCTCGCGGACTGCTTTGCAGTCCAACCCTTCGAAGCGCTTCGCGCCTCAGGCGGTATGTGCTCTGCGTTATTTTTATGATCTTATATCGTAGACAGGCCTGCCAAATCCCATCTTGGGCACTAGTACCAGCTCTAAGGTTCGGGCCCCATGTATATCACCTCCCCCTCCCGCCCTCTTAACACCAGACAAATTATTTGTAATATCATGAAAATCAATAAGGTTAGAATAAAGATAAATAAATAAAGTAAATAAATGCTCATTAATTTTAAGGAGAGAAGTGTATTCACATTCAAAAAAGAATTAATGTACTAACAATCTTGAAAATAAATAGAAATCTTTAAAGAAGTAAGGAAAATTCTACAGTGCCCCAATGTGTTTCTGCAAATTTATTGATCTTCTGCGAGATGTTTAGGGTAAATTTTTCACTTTTCCCTACGAGACTAGGGTTCTATGTGAATTCGAAGTAGTGTGACCCGGGGCCCGGTACATACCAGGGACCCAGTATCCCCAACCTTGTGGCAGACCTGATAGTAGAGTGTGGAGTATGATATGTCATGAACGGGGGTGTAGGTTTTTAAGACTCGCCTCATTAAATATACGCCTCTCAACCGAATATTTTTTGGTGGAAGCATGAATTTGGTAGCATCTCAAAAATGTTCCAGAATGTACTAGCGCTTCAAGATTGTCACTGTAAATGGCTTCAGTAGGGTCTTATCGACATTAACTCCCAGTGTATTTCGTCAACAGAAGGACCATTTGGACTTAAAAGGGCTAGGAAGAGAGGGGGGTTGCCGACACTTTACATGTGCTCTCAGATTTCTCATTTCTCCTGCCATCCAACCGCAATCACAACAACTGAGAGCGTTGTTTCTAAAAGAGAACAAATCCATTTTCAGATGAGCTTCGGTCTATATGATAGAACTGGTGTTTCAGGGCTTATCTGAAAATAGCTTTTAGAAACGATTTATTCAATTTAGCTGTTGTTTTACCTTATTCTCTCTTGAGTGGTGGCTCAAGTATTGAGTACCCGCAGTACAAAAGCTCCTACTGATCTTACGGTCAAGTACCTTCCAGATGTCTCCTTGCACTATGTACTAGCATACTTATGTACATTCATAAATCGGAAGGAGGTCATAAGGGGAGCAAGTAAATCCTGCATGGCCTACCGTTGTCACCCATTTTCTATGAACTGTGAAACGGCTTAAGTATTTACCTTTGCGGTTTGCGAACCGCATCATTGACAAGGTGCTAATCGATTTTAATGTGGTCGCTGCTCATTAACTCTATTATTTAGTGTATGCGCCCTCTTAGGCATATGTAAATAGATCTGTACCCCTAATGATAGTTTTAAATTATTTCATAATCGATCTCTATTACAAAATGCACAAGTTCACATTGTTTTTGGCCATTTTTGGGTACGTGTTGGATTTTAGTGAAGTTTTCGCATTAAAATATCCGCCTTTGGACTGGTGGCAAAAAGGAGTCTTCTATCAAATATACCCGCGATCTTTCAAGGACAGCAACGCTGACGGCATTGGCGATTTACGAGGTGAGAAATTTTGCTCATCCACTTTCATATCTATTTTCAAATTTTGTAATTAGTTGCCACAAGGATGACCGTTTATGCTGTTTAGTATAGCTTCAAAAAGCTTTGCGATACGTTCCGCTGCTCACAATATTAGCTTATAAGAAGAGATACGATTTTTTTTTTTTTTAAGTGCATGGGCGTTTACGTGTTTTGAAGCGTACTTTTCTCCTTTGTTTTAAGATTTTTTCACCATGTGTATTTAACTACAAGCATGACTCTCATATCCCTACCAAAGAAAACCGCGAGGTCTATCCCAACAAAATTGAGGGTTGACCTGCTTCTGGAAGACTATCAAAGATCTTGAAATACGAATTGTAGAATATGTAACTCAATTCGTTACCTCTCTAACTAGCTACAGGGTTATGAAAAAGTCCCGCACCACTGGCCATGGGGGGGGGGGGGGCAAATTGAAATTTTTGAATTGCCCCCCCCCCCCCCGAGGGGATCGAAAACTGGAAAGTACCTAAGAAAGTTTCCCCCTCGACAAGAGGAAAAACGCCTTAAACAGCAAATCGATATCATAATTAGAACTAAAGTTATGGCCAGTGGTGCGTGACTTTTGAGTAACCCTGTATATAGTTGAGTTCATTCTGTCAAAAATTCGCTTTTCTGAGACAATTTTTCCGCGACGCTTGCCAAAAATCATCAGAATTTTTGAGTAATTTTTCATAATCCATCCCTATTTTGTGATGGTGCCGAGTTTATGAGAAAGTTTTAATGATAGCGTTAAATTTCGTGTAATCAAAAGCTCAACGCATCCAAGATTGTGACGCGTTGGTGTAGACGCCGGGCTGACGCGTGTTTACTTATGGATGCAATTTTTTTTCGATGAGTTTTCCCGAGAAATTCAAACAATGATATCACTCGCCCTTCCCCTTATTCGAAGTAGGTCTTAGGACTAATTTTCATTCAGAGTAACGTAGATTTGTGTAGAAACACATCTCAAAGGCGTATCTTACAAAGGTTGGGAAGATTTTTGACATCGGATGTAGCACCTTCAGCCACAATTCAATATCAATACCAACCACACGCTGAACTCACTGCAACGCTTTAGGAGGTTTTCCCGCCTTGTGTTGTTCAAAAAATTAGTGTTGTTGTTAAGTCTTTTCCGGCTTTTATTTCGTGCATCATATCTTAAGCTATTAAGTTTTTTATATTGGTTTTGGACCGATGAATTTTTATTGTCTTTGCATCATAGCAAAGATGGACATTGATTATTGATGAACTAAAAGTACATATTGGTCAATTAGGAATTTTCTCCTGTGCTATTTCCTCACATCCTGAATTGAAGACAAAAAGGTTACCTCCGGACTTATAGGTATAATGCTCATCGAGTTAAAAATATCTCAGATCTCTTATCAATTTTGATATTTTTGGTGGAAATGAAGCTCTGCATTTTGAGTCCTATTTTCAAAGTGTGGAAATGGTAGTATCTTTAAGGACCAGCTGCCCCTTAAAATGCCTTAAACTAAACACATCATTTTAAGTCCGGTAATTTGTTGAATAGGTCAATGATCACGATGATTCTCGTCGAATTGACAAGCCAATGTCTCGCGTAAGAGTATTATCTAACTTTAAAATACCACTGATAACACATTCCTGATTTTACAGGCATGTATGAAACAACGAGTAAAAATTTGTCTCATGTTTATTAATAGGGCTGACTTTAATTTTTGGCTGATGCGGGTGCCAAAGAAATTATTTGAAGTAATTAGTCTCGGGCAAGAGAAAGTTCAAAAGCTATCTTGACATTTCACCTTTCAAACTTTTCGAGGTAACATTCATCTTAATCGTGCATTTAAATTAGTGTATACGAGGGTGGATTTGACGTAACTTAACTTCTTCTCTTTATTTCACTCCAAAACTTTTGTACTAAACTAGGTACTGCTACTAACTACTTTTTGTACCTACTTTACTAAATGTCTAAGTCTCTTTATAGCACTCCCTAGCGCTCTACGACACCTAACCTCCACTGCCCCACTCGAAGAACAACCCTTCGGACATCGAGCACCTTAACTTTTCTGCTTAAATCCCATCCCCCTCCAACCTCTCATTGGGCGCCCTCTGCGCCTTCTCCCAGTAGGGACCGAATAAATGACCTTCTTTGGCAGCCTGTCTCCTGCCATTAAACACTTTTTTCACTGTGAAAAACAACTGACGACATTAGCTTCTGGAGGAGCTATGATGATTTTTTAAATTTATTGGCTCTTGGATCACCGAGGAGGCTAATATTTTCTTTATATATTCTCCACATTTAGACGACATTTTGCAAAAATGAACTTCAAAATCTGGCTCATCTGTAAAGACACTTGTGTACATAGGGAAATTAATTGTAGTGACGTTGTTTCTAAACTGAGTCACAAATTGTAGTTCCTGATTGGGAAATGTAGTCCATTTCTAACCAAGTCCACTTTTAGCGGCACATCACATTCTTGTATTTTTTCGCGGAGAGGACAAATCTAATGTTAAAGCACCCTGTCCTAAATGTTTTCCTTCGTTCCCTCTCCCCCCCCCCCCCCANAGAAATCTTCAAATATTTCAAACATGTCATTCGAAAAGTATGACCCGCTCGAAAGTTGATAGTATTTTTATTTTAATGTCAGGGCAACTTTGATTTTTTTAGCACCAGCATTTCCTGAGAAAAATATTAGCACATTTTTTTAAGATTCAACCCATGCACTTTTCGAACAATAAATCACTTTTTTATTTACTTCCTTATTTTTAATCATATTATACTCGGAATTTTTGCATTTACGGCATGAATAAAGGGTGACTTTTTTTTAAATGTCCTGTTTAATTTTCTTCATCCAGGGTAATTTCTCTCCAATGATAGTACCTAAATAGAATAGTAATGAATGATGAAATATATAGAATTTAATTCAATTTCTATTGAGAAGGAAGGTGCAATTTAGGTCCTGACATGGAAATCCTGTTTTTAATTGAGCTTAATTTCATTCGGGGTTTTTTTCCCGAAGAAGATTCAATGACCTATATGTAATATGTGTATATATTTAATGTATTATGTATGTAAATATACCATCAATCATTCTCAGTGATTGTCTATTATTTCATTCTGGAGAGGTATGCAAATGGTGGACCCTCGCCAACGAATCGCGTGGAGATGTAGTAATCACTGTTTGTTATTCACAGGGCTTTTGAGTTACTGATAATATTTTAAAAAATCTAGAATAATACTAGTAAATACATTTTTAATTATTCAGCCCCTTCGAGATATTCAACGTGACAAGGATGCGTCGATATTGATGAAGATATTATTCCACCACTTGAGCAACTGTTAGTGATATCAAAGACGTAATACATGAACGAGTTCAAGTGCCTCCAATCGTAGATGCTCCCTGGAATGTATATTAGCTCACATGGATTTTCGCGTGTTTTCGAGCGATTTTTTGTTCTCAGTAGCGTGATTGTGTAACACTTGACACTCGTGGGGGGAAGGGGAAGTTTTGTAGATAACTCTTACGGTGGCCCCATGAATAAACAACTTCTTGAGGAGATGTTGGGAGACTCATTTTGAAAGGTTTATCTCGTCAAGCACAGGAACAAGATAGAATTTTGAATTTTTCATCATCGCAGGTGCGCCAATTGGTTGTTGTCAATAAGTACCTTTAAATTAGAGATGGCTCGCTCAGCTTGTCCCGAGGCACTGGAACTCAATTGCGGTGGGCAGTCTTTCTAACAAGTGGCGAGATACGTATCCAAACCCCATACTGTGGTAGAAAAAGGCTCAACATGAAACCTTGAAAATCTACAGAAAAGCTATTTAACCGTTATAGCATTCCTTCCAGACGCAAGCGAAAACTCGTCTTTGAAACTACGCTTATGCCTTGCAGGTTTAATAATGCAGGGACTTTTACAGAACGCCCTTAAATCTTAATGATATGTGTCATGAAACTTAATTGCGTAATTCATTGATAGATTATCCCCATCCCCTTCCCGAGACCTCTATAAGGGTACCTATGGTGAGAGAAATGAGGCCATCAGAATATGTGACGCAGCATGGCAAAATGTGCCCCCTTAAGGTAAAAGAGGGTGAGATAACTCTCACAGCTTTGTAGGGGTTGATTCTCCATCCTTTGCCGCGAAGAGCATGTCTAAATTCTAAAAATTGATACTATGATAGCAATTCAAAATTCAAGGACGAAATACGAGGAATTCGAGAAACTTTGTTGAGAAAACTTCTATTAAAGTTTGCTGGCGTTGTTGCCACACTTAGAGAAACGACTCGTTTCAGAAAAAATATTATCATAACATCATTCATAATGTAAATTTTTGTAAGCTTTCACTAGATTATTCAAGAAAGTTTCAAAAAATGTTTTTAATCGAAAACTGAATCTATATTTTCAACCCAAAACCAGTTTTGTCGCTGTCCTGAACAATTTGAGTTTCCCACTTACAGCAAATTTTGGCCTGCTGCGTCACATATCATAATTAGGTAAATACAGTTGACTTATTTGAGAAGGATTTGTCTCATAGACGTTAAGGCGTATCTATTGGAAATGCATGAAAATTCTGGTTTCCTGCTCTCGAAAATGTTTGTCAAGATTATCCGTTCGTGTACAATTTTAAATACTTTAAGACGATTACACACATTGAATCGATAGCATACTATTTGGAATATTTTTTTGTTTGGAAAACCTTTGGGTAAAACTACCGTTTCTTTAAACCACAAGAAAAATACGCACCATGCAATAAAATATAGTTGATAAGATCATTCAAATCCGAAGCAATATCAGTACCCCCGCCCCCAAATACTTTAAAAAAAAGTTGTTTCGTCGATGTCCATGAGAAATTCTTGTTTGAATTGAAAAAAAAACTAACTTTTTTTCCAGTTCAAAAGCAGGAGTTCAATTTGCCTTAATTTCAAAATAAACATTGAAAACTCAATCCAGTAATGAACAGCACGCATTTTGTTTTTTCTTTTAGGTGTCGCAGAAAAGGTTTGGTATCTGAAAGATATCGGAATAACAGCTGTATGGCTCAACCCAATCTTTGAATCACCACTCGTGGATTTCGGCTACGATATCTCGAACTACACCAGAATCGATCCTGATTTCGGAACCGTCGAAGACCTAGAATACTTGAAAGATGCTCTTCACAGAGGAGGTATATCTGCGGCGTGTCCACGTTTAAGTACGATGTAATTCTGGTCTGTTACCCTCAATTCAGGGAAGAAATAGGCTATTTGGAATTGAAAATTTAATTCTATTTGTGTCGCCCGAATCTTTAAAATTGTAAGTCGATACAGTAATTGTCTGGTGATAAATTATGCAATTTTTCTCCACTGACGAATATAAAAACTAAAAACTCCTCCTCTTCTAATGTCTCTTACGAGGACTTGCAAAACAGCTGTCCCTTATTATTGGTGATGTGCTCTAATACTGACGATTAGCTAAAATCGTTGTTGCAGGAATAAAGCTGTTGCTTGATTTTGTTCCAAACCACACTAGCGACCGCCACTTGTGGTTTCGAAAGTCTGTCGCCAGGGAAGAACCTTATACAAATTTCTACGTTTGGAAAGATGGCAAAGTCGTCAATGGTCAGCGCTTGCCCCCAAATAATTGGGTGAGTGAGTTGAACGGCTTAGAGCCGATTTTTTTTACATTAATTTTTCTTTTTTTTACTATCATTTTTGGTGTTTTTTTTTTTTTTTTTTTTTTTTTTTTTTTTTAATGTTCCTTTTTTTAACACGAAAAAAAACCCTGTTGGTCAGTCCCCGACTGTCTGGTCGCACACGTTCTACAAGAAATTCAGTAGTTTTATAGGAAATACCCTGCTATAATGGACATGAGACTGGCTGGCTTCATATGCACCTCAGAAAAGCTCGTAGCCAGTCCTTTAAGTCATGTATCATACGTGACTTAGCATACATGATGTATGCTAATACGCCGCTATATTTCTTGTGGAGAATGTATGCAGACGGAGATGCTTTTGACCTACTACTGGGTTTTTTTTTCCCGCAAAGAGCATCAATATTGAATTTTGTCACGCATCCCGAAATTTATTAAGATTAAACGGGAATAAGAAACATCAGATTGGTGAGCAATTCATCTAAAAAAAAAAAAAAAAAAAAAAAAAAAAGCTGCAACTGAGTCAAGTGAGCCATCAATAGCCAGTGATTTCCACTAATTTTAAACACACGTTTCCCCCATCAGAAGCTTAACTGCTGATGAAATTATTTTTTAGGAATTTGTGTACTGATGTGATTTTAAGATGTTCAATCTGTGCTGATGATTTTCCTTTTCTTATTTCATTTTTCATTAGCGGAGTCAGTTTGCCGGATCTGCGTGGACTTGGAATGAAGAGAGACAGCAATATTTCTATCATCAGTTCCATACTAAACAGCCAGATTTGAATTACAACTGTAAAGAGCTAGTCAGAGAAATGATCGTAAGCAAAAACTGAGTTTATTATTTTTTCTTACACATTCGGATATTTTCGACCTTCACATTCGCCTGTAGATTGAGAACCAAATGCAGGATAAAAGAAAACTGTGGGTATTCTTATCGGCACCCAAGAAATAAAATGGACTTTCGATTTATGCCAAGCTTTTCTTATCGGCACCCAAGAAATAGGATCGACTTCCGATTTATGTCAAGCTTCAATGACTAGAGCGTACAGTATAAGTTACCAAATAATATCTAAGTTCTCTTGCACGATAAATGATTGACACTTTAGATGTACACTGAGAATGAATGCTAACACTCACTGCCTCTTTGATTAAGTACTGGATTTATGATCATTTAACATTTACTTTGAATTTAAAACAAGCGGGAAAGGTCTAATACGTTCGTATTACAGAAACGCTCAGCCTCAGCTGTTTTCTATATGCAGGCGCGTTTTTAAGTTCCCCGAAGAAGATGACCCATGTTCAGTGAAAAGACTCGCCTCGCCAAAATATCAAGTATCAATTTTAAGAATATTACACTACCGTTAAACTAATAAATTATAGAAAAACGCAGGGCCGGATTCACAGCTACTTGCCGCCCATGGGCCGCCTATATTTTTCCGCCCCCTTCTCATTCGTTTTGAAACTCGAGAAAAACCCTCAAATAAACGTGCCAGCGGGAGAGGGGTGCATAAGACGCATTTACTCGTGTTGAACACATTTTTTGGGAAAGCCCTGTCAACATACTACTAGCAAAAGTTCACGAAACTTTGCGTGAATAGTAAGTACCGTAAACCTATCTCTGTGTAGACAAGGCCTTCCATTCATTAGAAATGAACGAAAAAATTATGAAAGAACAAACATAAATGTGGTTCAATGATTTTAACTTCCGCCGCCGCGCCGCGCAGACCGCACCGTGTTGGACGGCAATGCGTTAAGCATTCACGCAGTCTTGTAGGCGCTATGCGTTTCACGCTGACCGCACTGTGTTTGGCGCAATGCGTGAAGTATTCATACATTCTTGTAGGCGCTAATATGTGTTACATGCCGATCGCCGCACCGAGGGCTTCTCCTTTTCATCTCAAGTCTTCTTTATCATTTCTCTCTAAGTCGCGCCGTTCTAGGCCAAATTGCGTGTTTGATTTCTCTCGTAACTCGACTTATTGAGGGTGCTGTCTCTTATATCACTAAGAGACGACAAAATTAGAAATTACTATACTCTCAGGAAACGAGAGATTTTGTCCCCTTTTCTCGTGTGTAGTTTTGTTTTTATAAATCCGATTTTTTTTTTTTTTTATACCTAATTATCTACACTTTAAAAAATTGCAAATTTTTGCCGCCCCTTAGATTTGCCGCCATGGGCCGCGACCCATGTGGCCACCCCCTTAATCCGGCCCTGGAAAAACAATTATCGACCTCCACTCTTTGATATCAGAAGCATTAAATAAATGTATAACAGATAAATCTATTCTAAATATCTGCCATCTTGTTATTGAGCCGGTGCGCCATTTGAACGTATTTCTAATATACTAGAATTTATTCTATAAACAGGTTGAAATCCAAAGGTGCTATCTACCGGCTGAGCGCTTAAAACGATCATGAATATGATGGGACTATGTGAATCATCCTGTAAGAAGAATTATTCCTCCAAATTTTTTCCTCTTTGTTTTGAAATTTCAGCATTTTTATTGGTAGGCAGTATAAGTTATTTTATTTTTTCGTCAACATTTTACTCATGGATTTTACTTTCGTTCTTTTTCTCGTCGCAGTCAACGTTAAAATTTTGGTTGGATCGAGGCGTGGATGGCTTTCGTATGGATGCTGTGACGTACATGTACGAAGACCCGAACTGGGCGGATGAGGAATTGCTGAATTCGAACCTAGACCCCGAGGACTACTGGTCCTACAACCACTCAGCCACCATGGACCAGCCGCAGACGTACAGAATGATTACAACTTTCAGGGAAATTCTCGACGATTATACAAGAAAAGACGGTCAGACAAGGTACCAGAGCTCTTAGACCTTAGATTTATGCCACAAATCTTGATTAGTCCACCAAATCAGTCGTGGTAAGGAAAAATGCCCGAGGAACATTACACTGGAAAAAAAGTTACAGGCTATATGGACATACCGTCCGTTTCCGGCTCAGAGGTCGAAAGTTCCGGGTGCTGGAACCGTAGCTTCGACTGTTCCGACTGCTACGCCCGGAACTTTTGGCCCGAAACGCGGACAGTATACTCATCCATTCATTTTAAGAGGCTTCTTTTAAAAACAAGCTTAAAACGTATATATAGAATTCGAAAACAATATTAGATGGCACTTCCTTGCAATTGAACATGCTTTGAGATTGAAGTATTACCTTCCCTCTAGATCCTGCTTCATCTGTGTCCTAGCCTTGATTACATTGACCTGATTTCAGCACACGATTCTCGGATTTCCGCTTCCAAACCGATCACTTTATCAGTTTGATAAAGGAGATTGTGCCTGCAAAAATAAATTCATGATGAAACAGGTATTCCCGCTGGAAATTTTTAGTAAAGCTTTGACGAAGATTTATTTTTTAAACAATATATTTCGTCTCCAAATTGATTCACAGAGCAACATAATTTGATTACTTGTTTCTTGTTTTTTGCAGAGTTATGTTAACGGAGGCATACACGAGCCTGGATAAAACAATGCAGTATTACAAATTTGGAGACAAACCAGGAGCGCACATGCCTTTTAATTTCTTGTTCATCACAGTAATCGACGGTATGTCTCCAGCCAAAGAATATCAAAAAGTCATCCAAGCATGGATGAGGAACATGCCCGAGGGAGGTTGGGCAAATTGGGTGGTGAGATACTCAGTTATTTACATTTATTACGTTATAAATTGACCCTCGAACGATTAAAGAACCTATCAGTGATCCCCGGTAAAAATTGACAGTAGAATCTGTGTTCCAATATACCATAGACCTAAAGCCGGCTGTAAGATTTTCAATAGCTTCTATAGCCGGATGCACAATTTCTTATAGCCTTTTATAGCCGATGGCGATTAAGCAACAGCCAGGCGATAAAGTCTGTGCTAAATGTTACTAATAACGGATGCTAGGACTTATTGAGTTTTGACTACCGCTCTATTTTCGGGCCGTAGTATCTTGATTTATTTTGCGCGGAAAGCTGCGTACTTTTGAAGGATGCCTGCAATTCGTAATATGTTGGAGCGCCTTCAATTTCGTATGATACTGTGCAATACCTCTGGTGTGAAATAGTTGCTTCAAGCGCCGTGGCACGCTGCGGCGCGGCGGGCGGGTAGCCAGCGCGAAAAGCGCATCAGCGCCTACAAAGCTAACAGGGATACTTCAAGCATTGCGCAATGCGTGAAGTATCCCTGTTAGGTTTGTAGGCGCTAATGCGCGCTTAACTCTGGCAGCACGCCGCGCGCCGCTCCGCTCTGTGTTAGGCTCCATTATATAATCTCGCGGAGTCAGCGTTTTTCAACCCATGATTTTAAAATGTTTGCACATCCTGTATGGATTATTCTCATTTTAATTGATGAAAAAAAATATGTATTAAAGGAAAATATAATGTGTGTTTTGTAAATATTATGGCGGTTCCGTTATAAAACTTAATGATTTCCAAAGCGCATGAATATCTACACAATTTCTTATAGCCGTTTATAACCAATGGCGATAAAGTGTAAAACCCGGCGATGGGAGCTATAGCTCGGCTGTATACTTTTTTTATCGCTTCGTATAGCCCGGCTATATGATTTGTTCCGCTTTCTACAGCCAGCTATATGATTTTCTATTGCTTTCTTTAGCCGGCTATAAGAATTCCTATGGTATTTTGAAACGCAGCTCCTATCGCAAATTTTTACCAGGGATCTGATTATTCGTTGGTGATTTTAACATCTCAACATCACTGGCAACAGCATCAACAGCTTTCAACGGCGTTTTTCTCTGTTCCTTGGTCTTCGTCTTCAAAATTTAAATTGCCTCCGCAGGAAGTTCATTTTTGAAATTTCTTGGGCCAAATGATGCCGTTTTAACCCATCTAACCTATTTCCTAGTCATCTCATTTTTTCGTTCAGCTTAAAGCAAATTTCGCCTGACTTGGTCACGAATAAAGTAAATAATCTAGTAAGCACTAACATTAATTTTTCTCCTATTTAATTGAATTTTTGTGCAACGAGGACAGATCAGCAATCACGACAACCATCGTCTGGCGTCGCGGTACGGGACCGACTTGGTGGATGGACTGAACATGATGGGCCTGCTTCTCCCCGGTTCGGGTATCACCTACTACGGCGACGAGATAGGCATGGAAGACACCAATGTCAGGTTTGACGAGGGAGTTGACCCGCAGGCTTGTGACCTCGGCCCCGAGAAGTACGGCCTCTACACCCGCGACCCAGAGAGGACACCCTTCCAATGGGACACCTCCTTAAACGCAGGTTAGTTTTTTCCCCACTGGATTCTTTTATACTGCATCTAGAGTCCCTTTATGCCGAGTGTCAAGACAACCCCCCCTCATGGAGTCAAAAACGGGAATAAAGATTACATAAATTGAAAGTTTTACGACATACAACGCCTAATCGCAACTGTAACTGCTTTTTACTCGCTAATGCTGCATATCTAAAAACTTGAAGGCGCCTACGCTTTTTCCTTTTTGCTCCTGACAGATAGTGCATTCCATAGTTCGCTTTGTTAACTTGTTTTGACGCCCCTAGTTTTTTTTATTATATTAAATTTGTACAGCTTACACTTTCTTAAAGTAATTCTCTCCCATAGTGAATGACGTTTATCGATGAGAAGAAAATCCTCTGAAAAAGTCTCAGAGGTAGTCAGGGAAGACTTAATCCTTGCTCTCTGTTAAACATGTTTACTGATCATAAATCATTCACAGGCTCACACGCCATTTCTCTGCTTATTAATATCAGTGGCGTGGCGTGTTTTGCGATATATCAATTGATCTACCATTTAAACCTATGTAAATGAATCGATAAGTGGTATGTTCGCAGCGAACATCTTGATAATCGATTCTTTTTTATAGCTTCAAATGGGGAAATATAGATAATCGATCATTCACGCCACGCTATAACCTTCCATTTCACCTCTGAGTATACATAAAGCGTACTTTTGAAAAATACCGCTCCAAAAATCTAAGTCTATAAATACGCATCTCAGTACATCGCAACTTCCGAATGCCTTTTCATATTACAATTTTTAAGACGATACATTACACCTTGAAATTTTTACAATATTGCAAAAGCAGAGAATTGAAAAAAACAATCTCATATGTTAAAGAGTTGTTTGGGTCGATACTCTGCAAAGTAATTTTAACTAGTCAGAATAAAAACAATGTGACACAAATACTTCATCCACCGATGAGCATTATTACCTGATTAAGATGACCGGGAAAGATGTTACAGGTGTCTCAGAAATTGTTTGCTGTCCATCCATTTAGTCACTACAAACATTGGGCAGGTTTTTTATTTTTCAACACTTAAATTTCGGCATCACTTGCTTTGGACAAGCGTCGCACGTTTCATTAAACTTGAAATGTTGAATACTTAATTATAATATGTAAATAATTGAAAATTCTGTCACAAAGAAATTCGGAAAAACTGTAAAGTTCAAAAAATGGTAATCAGAGACAGCAAGGCACTAGATTATTCTCAATATGTAGAGGAGCTTTGAAACGCCACTGATTGCATTTTCATCAATTTTTCCTTTTTTCAAGACGTCAACGTACTTGTCTGCCGACTTTAATTGATCATTTTCTGAGAGGTGATTGCACTAATGATAAAAAAGTTCGGCAGTTGCACTATGACCTCGTGTTGCCTTTTTTCTGTCTGGCTCAGTTCGAGCTGCTCGCAATTTTTCTCTCTTTTTCAATACCCATCGCAATTTGATCAGAACAGACGTGAATTGCAATCAGGCACCTCAATAATTCCATGAGAAAAGTTCAGTTCCCACACTCTGCAAAGTTTACAAAATCTTTCTTGCACAGCGATAGTTATCACGGTGTGTTTAATGTTAATAAAGTCATTCACGACAAAAGCCATCTCCATTAGTTTCTAACTGTAATCACTTTACTTATAATTGCATGGCATCACTGTAAACGTATACTGTCGGGTACAAACGAGCCCTAGAGAAAAAAAGTACCGAAAATACTTTTCTGAGTAAATCGTGTATTTGTAACTTAAATTACATATTCACAGGCTTCTAGGTTTACATATTACAAATGCATAGTTTGTTCTTTTATCACATTTAATTCAATATTTATGGCAAACTAAACTTAGTGTGTAACTGTTACAAATTCCCTGACTATCTACCAATAACAGCTAACTAACTGAGTATAATGAACTGTAAATCCTTTCTATTCTAATAAAATCATTTTTAAGACGCTCGATCCTAGGGGTGAGGAAGGGGAGTAATACGGTCGATGGGCAGAAGTGAGGAAGGGGAGTTTAAAGGTCAGAGTTTAAGTAGAGTGGGTCTTTACTGTCAGAGGCCTTTGCTTAGTCATACACAGCTATATGTGGCCGTGTCAATGTCGACTTTCGAAAAAGGAATCAAAATTCGGAGTAAGGAGAAAGTCATTGAGCATATTGTTTGGCGGGAAATTTTTCTTTGAAACATCATTTTGTCATTCAATCAAAATTATTTGCTCATTGACCGCCAACGGGCGATTTCGACGATTTCGCTGGCTGCGAAGCGGCCCTCCGAGGCGCGTAGCGGCCAGGGGGCAGACCCCCTAGTATTTAGTTAGTTTTATTCAGAGGCATTCAGCAACTTAGGCTATTAATGTCTTTACAATGAATATGAAAGATGGGTGCAAATATGAAAATTCAGATTTTTAAATTAAGGGAGGCAGAAAGTTGCAGTATTTTGTTTGTGACATTTAGATATCTATTTTAGTTGTGTACGATATATCGAAACATGCGTGCCTCAGATTGTGCGCTTATAAACCACCGCTCATTTTTTATTTTGAAAGGGAAACTGACCAACAGTTTCTAATGAAATGTTGAAATGTATCAGACGTAAATGAATTTAACTCTGAGAGCCGTGACACAAACCTAAATAATGTAACAATGGGGTAGTTACAAGGTTTTATGTCCAGAGGCAAATCTATAATACGGAAATATATGCTCTTGTGCAGGGAATGCAGTGTTCCAAACACTGGAGAGAATGATTTTTTTTATCTTTATTTCTGTTTTTTTATTCCCTTACTGTATTTTAATATTTATTTTACTATATTTACTACATTTTTTGTATTACTATAGTTGTTTACTATAGTTTTTTTAGCATATTTACTATATTTTTTATCACTACTATATTTATATTAGGTGCTTAAAAAATTGCACAAACAATACGAATTTTTTAAGAGGGCCTTTTCTGAAACATCTTAAAAATTTAAACACTGTTGTACCTTAAAAATAATCGATGGAAAGTTCACCAATGAATGCCAGGATACTCAAAAATAATCCAAAGAAGAGACTGATAAATGCTGATTGTAGATCATTCAAATTATACGGACGCGGCATTCCACCATCTGTCGTCAAACGTGAAATTTCAAACCTCACATTCTTTAAAACCTGGTTTTTTTCGAGGAATCTCCTAGCGAGTCCGCTCTCTAAATACCGAGCGATTAAATGGTTCAGTTTATCGAAGAGAAATGAATTTTTCTCAAATGAAATCAGGAATGGATACGTCATCAGGCACTCTTCAACGAGGTGGTACTCGGATTCTTCCTTCATCAACATGTGTTGTATGAATACACTTTCTCTTAGGGTAGAAAAGGTAGGCACGTGCACAACAAAGGCATCCGTTGTAGCTATTGAGCGTATATTATCCTCCACCTTTTCTAACCTGCTATCGCTGGCATTCTTAATTATCAGAGATCGATTTGTATATGCTTCAAAATAATTAGGAATAAGATCCGCGACATCCGTCACTTCGTCCAACACCATTCCAGTATAAAAGTCCAGCGTGTTGACCACCTTCGCCTTTAGTGCCTTCGATAAGTTTTGTCGGTCGAAGGAATTTCGAATTGTCTCTACGTTGAAAAGCGCGCTGTCAGTTTGAATGAAAATCTCGGACTCCTCCAACATCTGTAAAGAGTCAATTTCTGTACCCGGGACTCTCTCACTAAGGAGTGTCATCACGCCACTCGAGTAAACTGTAGAGATTATGAGTGCAGAGAAACTGAAGATGAAGAACAGAACTTTACCCGTGAAGAGATGCCCTAGAAGTAAAGATGGCGGTCTACCACAGATGAAGTACCCATAAATGGTCAATATCGATGATGTGCTTTTGTAATGATCGATCTCTGCCTCTGAGTACAAACGATGAAATACTTTGCATTGAATGTACTGGAAAATTAACTGACTCGATATGAATAGGACGGTTGTAATCAGAATAAATACCCAAGCCCATGGTGAGAAGCACTTGAAAATTACGAGACCCTGAGACATAAAACCGCTATGTGGGACGACTATGCACACAGCCCCGGTATCAATACTAACCGAAATGTCTAATTGAGAGTAATCAACCCCATCAGTATTAATTCCAGTTTCAACATGTTTTATATCTACGTCAAATTTCAAGACATCATCAGACGAATAACATGAAATCTTGTTATACTCTGAGGAGTCAATAAAGTCTACGTCTAGGGTGCTGTTCACAGAATCGATGAAGATATCAATAACATGGTTTAAAAAATTTATCTCCGAAATCATTTTGTAAAGGTAAGGATAGCCGCGGTTCCGAGAGCCGTTGCTTAAGACCGTAGCTATACCTCCACCTACTCTTATAGATTTTCCATGCATATTAGACCAAGAAAAGTCAAAAAAAGTCTCCTTAGCTTCCCCTCTGTTTGAAATAAGGTTTTCCAAAAATGGGTCGTATTTTTCGCAGTCTTTAGGATGGCAAATCACTGCTCTTTGAGCTTTAAAAAATCTCCAAAACAATTTAAAGCAAAACATCAGACCATCTGTCACATCCACTCGGGAATGAGTATTGGCGGTCCTCTCAGCCCACTCATGATGCGGCAGTTGGGTTTCGAGCCGTCGGTCAACGTAATGTTGCTCAGTACTCTTCAACATGAAGACGAGGTAGTTTTTGGCATTCCAAACTTTGTTGCCGGAGAATCCTCGGGTTGTGTTAAACACATGGTCCGATAGAAGTGAGCCGTCCTTGAGTTCCTCGGTGGTAATGTTGACCTGATTATCACAACTCCTCTCCCTGGATTGCATGAGACAGTCATTGAGCATAATGCAGTAGTGAGGTAGAGCTTCCACCAACTGCTTCTCATCGTTCTCAAGTCTTGTTTTTCTGGCCTGGTTAGATCCTGAAGGGTTCACGTTCGCAATAGTGTCAAATATGAGACTTAGCAACTCATCAATGTCCCCAAGAATGAAAATCATATTTTTTATGTGACCATTGGTGACAACCTCGTTCAGTTTGCTTTGATGAGATATTAAAATAGTCTGAATTGAGGCCTCGTGGAGCTGTCGAATGAAGTGTTCATTGAAAGGACCTGACTTTAATTGGACCGTGTAAAATAATGATTGCGCTGATATTCCGACTATTTCTTTGCACACATTCAAGGCCACTGATTCCATAGGCTCCCGACGATCAAACAAGGGTTGCTCAGAAACAGAAGTACTGAACTCCCCAGAGACGAGTTTCGCAAATAACGGGAGGTTGATGTAAAAAAATACGCTCATTATTGACGAAATGTTCTGTCCTTTAATCAAAATATTTGGGTATTTCTTTGTAACACTGAATCATTCAATGCTGGCTGTGGGAGGACAGGGCACCAGCATTGTGGCGGTAAGGCGTCGCAGAGCGCAAGAAAGTGCCGTGAAAGTGGCTCTTATGCATGGATCATTAATTTTCACAAACAAATTAGAGAAATAGAGGGCTTAAACTATTTCAAGCAGGACTCTGCTTTTGTGTATCCATTTGTTCTATTCCTTTATTTTCTTTGACCATAACAGTCATGACGCTTTGCTGTTCCTAACAGGGCTGGATTCCTACTTGCCACCCATGGGCTACCTGTATTTTGCCGCCCCCTATCATTCGGTTTGAAACATCAATGAAAACCATGAAGTAGATGTGCCGGAGAGAAAGACGTGCATAAGACGCGTTAACTCGTGTCGGACACATTTTTTGCGAAAGCCATGTAAACACTAATCGCAAAAGTCCAAGGAACCTTGCGCGAAACTTAAGTTCCGTAAACCTATCTCTGTGTGGTCAAGGCCTTCCATTTATAAGAAATGAACAAAAAATTATGGAAGAACAAACATAAATGTGGTTTCATAATTTTGACTTCCGCCGCCGCGTCGCGCTGACCGCACTGTGTTTGGCGCGATGCTTGAAGTATTCCTTCAGTCTTGTAGGCGCTATGCGTCTCACGCCGACCGCTGCTGACCGCACTGTGTTTGACGCAATGCGTGCAGTATTCATGCAGCCTTGTAGGCGCTAATATGTGTTATACATGCCAAGCGCCGCACAGAGGGCCCTCTCCTTTTCATCTCAAGTCTTCGTCATCATTGCTCTCTGCGCCGCGTCGCTTCAGGCCGGATTGCGTGTTTGGTTTCTCTCTTAACTGGACTAATTAAAGGTGCTATCTCCTGTATCACTAAAAGACGACATACTCTCAGTAAATGAGAGATTTTGTCGCCTTTTCTCGTTCGTAATTTTTTTTCTGAATCCGATTTTTTTTCATACTTACATTTAAAAAATTGCAAAATTTGTCGCCTCCTAAAGCCGCCGTGGGCCGCGGCCCATGTGGCCGGGGTCTAAATCTGGCCCTGGCCCCCAACTTTTTCAATTCAATGTATTCTGAGTGATATCTTTTGTCTCCTCTTTATTTAATTGGGAAAAAAATTCCTCGGTTGGAATGAGCAGGTATCATATTCTTTCTTAAATATTCCCGGGTCCATTGATAGCTTCAAACTCAAAATCGTTTCGTGTTATTTACATCATACTAAGAATATCAAATCATGCAAGGATGCTTTGGAATTTTCAATTTCGATAAGGATCTGGACTGTTCGGAAGTATCGTATATAATACTCGCAGCATGATCATATTCAAATATGATTTTGCAAGCCGTAGTTTTGTATGTGTGTAGTTTTGTACAGTTAGAGGTACAGGCTATTTGATAGGACGAAGGAATGTGCCATTGACTTGCGATTGTCTTTATGAAATCTTCTCCGCGAACTTAATCCTAAAAATTTTGCCCACTCTTTTTTTTGTCTGCATATTTTTTTTTGCAGCTAGCAACTTAAAATACTATACACACTGATATTAAAATCTAAAATTTTGAATCAAATTTACTTTTTCCTAAATTAATCTTATATGCCCTACTTATTTCTCACGATCAAAAAGCTATATACTATCAGTTTAGTACTGCTTACATTAAAAGAAAATCATAGGACTTTTAAAGCGAATTCTCCATTTATATGAGCACTAACCTTTGTTTTGGAAAGGGTGTGAAACCAAGCACAAACTAATCTGAAGTAACATGTAAGTAACATCGAGACCTGGTGGTATACTGAATGCATCAAATCGTAAATCGAAATTTGTTTTTGCAGTTTGTAGAATATCGTATGCCCTCTTATTTCAAGAGGATGACAGCAGTGGAGTAAATATTAGTCTAACTTTTTCGCTTTACTTCCTGTTTTTCGATTTATTTCATTAATGTGAGTGAATAGTTATAAAATGGGTCACGCATTTTTTGCATTTAGTCATCGACATTCCAAAGGCATTGATGAAAATATGAAAGGGTACAAACCCAACAAGGCCGAGGGTTTCAGTTTTATCCTGTTACGTGTATCGTACACTTAGCATGCACCGACAGATTATCTCACATAGCACTTTAATATACTGCTCGGTTCAGAGCCAGATTCAGGGGTTGGCCGCATGGGCTGCGGCCCATGGCGGCAAATTTTGAAATTTTTTTAAATGTAAGTATAAAAAAACATCGAATTCAGGAAAAAAAATTACAAACTAGAAAAGGCGACACATTCTCTCATTTCCTGAGAATATAGTTCTTTCTAATTTTGTCGTTTTTCGGTGTTACAAGAGACAGCACCTTAAATTAGTCGAATTAAGAGAGAAACCAAACTCGCAATTTAGCAAGATGCGGCGCGGCGCAGAGAACAATGCTGACGAGGACTTGAGATGAAAAGGAGAAGCCCTCAGCGCAGCGGTCGGCATGTAAGACGTATTAGCACCTATAAGACTGCATGAAATCATCACGCATTGCGTCAAACGCAGTGCGGTCAGCAGCAGTCGACGTGAAACGCATAGCGCCTACAAGACTGCATGAATACTTCACGCATTGCGTCAAACACAGTGTGTTCAGAAGCGGTCGGCGTGAAACGCATAGCGCCTACAAGACTGTAGGAATACTTCACGCATTGCGCCAAACATAGTGCGGCCAGAATGGCGCGGCAGTGGAAGTTAAAATTATTAAGCCACATTTATGTTCGTTATTGCATGATTTTCTCGTTCATTTCTTACAAATGTAAGGCCTTGTCCACACTAGAGTAGTTTTACAGAACTTAACTTTCGCGTAAAGTTCTGTGAACTTTTGCTAGGAGCGTTCACAGGGCTTTCGCAAAAAACGTGTCCAACACGAGTAAACGCGTCTTATGCACCCCTCCCCCTCCGTGTTGGTCGTAAAACTTGATGGTTTTTATTGATGTTTAAAAACGAATGAGAAGGGAGCGGCAAAAACAGGCGGCCCATGGGCGGCAAGTAGGTAAATCCGGCCCTGGCTTGGTTACTTACTTGTTATTTATATTTTCAGGATTTTCTGCCAGTTTGAAAACATGGTTACCGATTAACTCAAATTACTGGCGCTTGAATTTGAAAGCACAGATACACTCGGAAGGCAACAGCCATTACAAAGTTTACAAACGTTTGATGGACCTCAGAAAAACCGACACGATGATGTATGGTAGCCTAGAGACTCATGTCCTCTCAAAATGGGTTTTCTCTTTTGCAAGGTAAGAACGCGCCCTCTGTCACCCTCGAGGTTCGTTACCGTTATTACCTGTTACAAGACAAAAATATACGACTACTAGGATACAATTCTGATAAATATTTCGAAAGCTAATCGATGCAGAGGCACAATGCAAGTGAATAGAGGGCAATTTAATTTAAAAAAAAAATAACACAAATGAGATAAAATAAAAATTCATATTGAAAAATAAAAATCACTTAAGGACAAGGAGCTTAAAATGAACCAAACAGAGGGCGGGCGGGTGGGTTTTTCATAGATACCTATTTTCTTTCGCGTAAGTGATATCGTCACTTTTGTATGTCTAGAAAAGAACATTAAACCAAGCTTTCATGTAATTATGATTCATTTCAGATACACCCAATGGCACACGTCTTACATTTTCCGATGAAAATAGCCCTATAATCAAATTAAAATATAAGGAGAAAGCACGATTTTGCACCTAAAACGTTTGGTCATGAACTGATTGCGGTAGACGCCAAGGTAGCTTTTAGGCAGTAAGTTGGTAACGTAGCCAACGTGCGTTACAATTCAGCATAACGCTAGCTGAAAGTTTCAATACAGAGGGAAAAAGCTCATTTGAGCACAATCTTTCTCCCCCCCCCCCCCCCCCCNTGGGTCCAATTAGACTTGAAATACGTCTCGCCTGCAGTTGCCTTCCTGAATGATCGTAACTAGTGCTGCACCAAACAGCATGTCTCTTTGATGGATAATCGTGCTCGAATGAGCTTTTTCCCTCTGTATTGAGATTTTCAGCTCTATGCTGAATGGAGATGTTGCATGTGTGAGGAATTTGCGATTTGACTGTTGATTCTTGTGCATTTAAAATTTCGCGAGAAACACGATGGTGCCACTGGTTTTCTCTGAAATCAACTCCCAAGCTCAAAAACAGTTCTTAAGTTGAGGCCAAAATAGAGGGGATATCCCACGCTACCCTGAGAATCCACCTCTACATCAAGACAAACTCTCCATGCAAAGATAGGGAGCAAATACATTGACAGGGCTTCCACTTTATTTGGGGACTCTAAAATTGAAAACATGGCAACCCTGTCAATGTATTCGCTCCGTATCTTTGCATGGAGAGTTTGTCTTGATGTAGAGATGGACTCTCAGGATAGCGTGGGATATCCCCTCCATTTTGGCCTCAACTTGAGAGCTTTATTTGAGCTTGGGAGTAGATTTCAGAGAAATCCAGTGGCACCATCGTGTTTCTCGCGAACTTTTACATGCATAAGAATCAACAGTCAAATCGCAAATTCCTCACACACGCAACATCTCCATTGTAACGCACTTCGGCTACATTATCAACTTACCGTCTAAAACGGGTGGGTTTAACAACTTTCAACATGTTAGCTTTCGAAGATCAGATTTTTCAATTTCTCATTTTTTTTCTTTCAGGCACCTGAATGGTACTGACACTTACGTGATAGTGATCAATTTGGGGAGTGAGACTGCGCCAATTGACCTGTCCGCTTTTATGAGTGATTTACCAGAAAAAATGAAAGTTCATACGGGCAGTATCAACAGTCGTCATATGCCCGGGTATGTTACTCCCTTTATTTTTAATTATATGTATTGCTACTCAAAAAAATTTGCGTTAAACGTAAATGAACACCAGCTCAGAGACGAGGCATGAATGATCGATTATCGATATTTCCCCATTTGAGACTGTGGTGAAGAGTCGATTATCAAGGTGGGCGTTGCGAACACTCTGTTTATGGTCATTTTCCATACGTTTTTATATCGCAAATAGATCGATATATCGCACCAGTCACTGCACCAGCTGACAAAACTGCGCTCATGAATTTTCTGTCGAGGAGTGGTCGAAAGTATCAATGGCCATGTTGAAACGTGGTTTTTTTTTGTTTCTTTGAAAATTCTGAACGCTAAAAAGATAATGAGAAAAATTGCCGGCATTACATGCTTAAAGAATCATAAAATTTAAAGTTACAATACATCGCAAAAGTGGATTGGAAAGATTGATTTCAAATCCTCGGTAGAATGTGCCGAACTTTCGGCAATTCTGCCGAATTTCGGCTCAAGCTACCAAAATTCTCGAGGTGCGGACGCTGCTGCAAAATTATGTACCGCGTAGGGTAGTCCAATAAACCTCACTTACAGGGATGTCCTTTGTGCCCCCCGGACCCCCATGATTCAGATGCCCTTCTATCTCCCTCCACCAAGAAGTCCCTAAGTTCCGTCCATGCAGTTTTTACCTTCTACTCCTCCTTCTACTGTTTCTCTTTTGTAATATTTATGCGTTTGAACCTCACAGTGAGAATGTGAACACCGCTGAGTTTTTCCTGCGACCTAAGGCCTCTCTGATACTGACGACTGCTTCAGAAGTGCCGTCTCCAGGCTACAAGAACCCCTCAGCAGCAGCAACATCCAGCTTGTCTACCGCACTCGCTCTTTTTTCACTGTTCCTGTACTGTAAATATTCCCTGTAAAATTGCCAATTCGTTGATACTCTTACTGAAACGAAATTCAGTAGATTTGAGACTTGTGCGTCAATACCACGATATTGAGCAGGACAAGCAAATAGCGTTTTACATCAAATTGATGGATTTCTATGTGGTAAATACTGAAATAGGGAAATATTTACTGTTTATTTATGAATACAATATAAAAATTTCAACCATTATTGGTTTGAAATTATGAAATCGTTGAGCGACCGTAAGAGTGTCATGACTACGCTGCGTGAAACTATGGATTGAAAAATTGACCAGCCTCCTTCCTCAATATTAAACTCAATCAAAATTGATTTGCATTTATGTAAAAACGAAGAAAAAAATATACTTGTTTCATGATGTAGCGTATACATTACAATATCTCTACCAAAAAAATCTAGATTTCCTTGAACATCAAGTTCAAAAGGCAAAAACATTTTGAAGATGCGGCTGATAACAACATGAACTGCGAACTTGTTCCATTCTAAATAATGAGCTATTTGGAAAATTTGACTGTCTCGTTTTGAAACGAGAATTAAAAATTGTCAGTATAGTACTAATAATTTAATTTCTTTGTATTATTCCTTCTTCCTCAAATTCGACCTCCCAGAATCAAATTATAGCAATATCAGCCTCCCATTGAAATTAAATCTATGTAAACTAATGATATTTATATGGTCAAATAGTATTTTTTCTAACTCGCGTCAGTAAATATGATATTCTTTGTATACATTGTACATTTGTAATTATGCTTATAAATACACGAATCGTTGTTTTGTTTTCAAATATTTGTGAATCATTTTTCAGTTTAAATCGAGGTTATCTACCTAATTTTCATTCCTAAACAATTTTTGAATGAAAGTTTTTAAACGCTAATTTTCGATGCAGATTCCTTTAGAAAGAGACTCAAAGTTCAAAACAGTGAGAGAGCAAGTTGGTGTCAAGCAAATCTGTTTTCAGTTTTCGATGCTGAGCTCTTTCCGTTTCTTTTGAAAAATCTTGACTCGAGGTTTCAAGCCTTATTTCAAAATATTGACCTCGCGTTAAGAGCTCTAAACTGAATTTCTCAAATGTGAAAACAGCGTTGTTTTTCGAATATCCAATTTTTCGCCCTCGCATGTTGAACTACTGAAATAGTCAGTTCATGGAATTTCACTGTTTTCCTCTCGCCGAATGATGCAGGGTTAACCCCTCTAAGCTGTGGTAAAGTTATCTCATTTTTTTCTCCTACACCTTAAGGCGTATTTTTCCCGAGTCTAGCACATTTTACATTTCTCAAATGTAATTGTTGTTATGAGTCAGCTTACGAATTGAATTTTGAATAAAAAATGAGGGAAAAATGAAATGAGCACTTACCCTTCATAAAAGGCAGGTTTCTCCTAAAAACTGCGCATTGTGTTCAGATAAGGAATCAATCAGATCAGAATAATCGAGAACAGAACGATCTCTCCCACAGAATGTTCGAGGAGAGCACTTCAGATATCTAAATCGAAACATTATCCGAGCAAGTCGCACTGAATAGAATTTCATAAGTCAGTAATTTTTGTAGCTGTCACTATGAGAGATACAATCCCTTCGAGGGAAGTTTCTATTCTTTGCAATGTTTAAAATGCAGCTTAAATAAAGAGAGTCTCGTTTCTCAGAGAAACGTAGCGACCGTATTCACACCACAACATCAACGGGGATAATTGATCCTTAAAGAGTAAGGTCAAAGGGAGAAGACAAGATCACCGACATTTGCGCTTCTTTAGTAACAATATAACTGCACCTCAAAGAAAATGATTATGACGCATGGCACGAAAGCATTCAGGTAATTGTAAGATCCGTCAAAATTTACTAATGAAAATTTTCAATTATTAAACGCAAATAACTCTAAACATATTCCTTTGTATCATCTTGACTATACATAGCACATCAAAGGAATGAATTAATGCACCTTCGATATTTTTAATAAAAAACTCATGATACAGATCAGCGTCTGGCAAAATTGACGATTATCGCGCATCAAAACAAACTTTAACCGAGGAATCGCACCAAAATTGTCAATCACACAACTGCACTGTGAGCAATCCTGAATATCATAATCATGATGTCACCACTCAGAAGATTCATCGACGGCTGTCGCAAAACCAAAAATCACAGCCCAAAAAACTCCGATTTCCGTGATGCATCGTCTCTAGATGTAAATATTTTTCCCCCATTCGAAATCAAGGAATTTCACAAAATATCTAAGGGTGAATTTGAATCAGCGCGAATTTTAAAAGGCCAGTCTCCATCACGAAATTAGACTTTTCAGCCAAAATCGCGCAAATCTGGTGATTTGGTCGGCAGCGACAGGCTCACTGCTCGCCGTGGGCCTGCAACGCGCTCGTCAGCGAACAGGAAGCATGCATTCACCGAGAGATCCGATGTTGCCTAGGGACTTTGAAATTGACCTATTTACTCCCTCGTCTTGTCATTAACATTAATCTAAAGAGTGTCTCAAAAGTTCTCAAAATTAAATAGTTTTACGCTACTAAATCTTAAATTTGGACGTACAGAACGTAGAACTAGAGATGGGTGGGAAAGATGGGGTGTGCTCGTAAAAGCTTCATAGAGACAATGTAAACACGGGCGTGATTTCTTTTAGCAAAATGGAAAAGTGGGAATTGAGATTAAAGCAAATGGAACTGGGCTAACTCATGAGCCGTGGGCATGTGACAACAGCGTTGTGACCAAGGCTCATGAGTTGAAGAGTCCTGTCCCTGATCCCGCCAATCTCCGTGTCCTCGTCGACGTCACTGGTGCTCTATAATTCTCGTTCAATCTTACGGCCGTCGACTAACAAGCACACGCGTTCTTTCATTCTGTCTCTCGTTCCTTTTCGCATGATTATCTCCATTAAAGAGAACTATTTGGATTGAATTTTGCAATTTGGACCTATAAATTCTGGCTCAACTGAAAAAACACTTATGTGCATAGGGAAACTAATGGCACATACGTTGTTTTTACACCGGACCAGAATTTATAGTTACAAATTGCAAAATGCAGTCCATTTCATAAATATCGCGGAAAGTCTTCTCACCGCTTATGAACGATGTTCGAGGTCAAGAGTATGATTACCATGTAGATGGTGGCGACTTAAAACCTGATTTTCTTTCGGTTTCGAGGAGAAAAATCACGAGGGTTTTTTTGAAATGACATTGAATACTCTTCCCCCGTTAAATTAAATTTTGAAGTTTGCATGAACGCAACCCTATTGCGCGAAATATGTGGTTTGGGAATTTCACTGTCGATACGAAACCCTAAGATGATTATTAGTCAAAATTTGACGTATTTCTGACAAATGGAACTACGTGCATTGAAACATGAGCCTTGAGACCCATAAGAATATATGCATAATAGGGCTCACGTCATTATGTGCATAGCTCCGTTTTGCAGAAATAGTCCAATTTAAAGTCGGAAAGTCGGTCATGGTCGTTCATCAGTTCATGATTAGGGATTTAAGATGATTCGTCCCGGTTTTTGGGAGTGGCCGAACGTATTTTGCGAATTTATCCCATCGACTAAGTAAGAAAATCTTTGCAGATTTTAACTTAAGCCATAGGAGCAACGATAGTCACTGTGCAGTGCGCATGTGGCTGAAGAATCATTTGCGACAAAAAAAAAAAAAATTCAAATTTGACGAGATGAAAACATAACTCAGCTACGAGTGATGTATTGATACAGATATCGAGTTCTGTATCAACGTTTTCTTCTTCTTTTTTCCCTCCTTTCTTTGTAAGTAGCTGAACACGTTTTCCACCCCCGCAATTTTCCCAGTTCATCTCTCCCCGCAAATTTTTCTCAAGACCCAGAGGCAGGGGCTTCCGACGTATTTTCGGCTGAAAAGTCGAAATCTGCCAGGATTTTTAACTTATTCGATGCATCATATCGCACGCCAGTTCGACCAAACCAAGAACTCGAGGCACATCACCGAGATTTCATAGCTGGATCGATTCAGTGGCGTGGCTTGAATGATCGATTATCGATATTTTTCCATTTGAAACTATGGTGAAGAATCGATTTTTAAGGTGTTCGTTTCGAACACCCTGTATATCGATTTTTTCCGTAGGTTTAAATGGCAAATCAATCGATATATCGCAAACCACGCCACGCCACTGGATCGATTTATTTTCCGGCATGAACCTAACTACATCGGACGTTGCCTAATTTTGCTCTGGTGTTATTGTTAAAACAGAAAACGAAAAAACGCTGCAATTTGTGAGTATATATATACCTCATAAACTGGGATAAATTCTCGAAAGGTATGAAAGCGTTAAGTAAAGCGTTTAAGTATTAAGTAAGAAAGCGCTGAGCTCCGTTTAGGAAAAATGAAAAACGGAAGAAAATGAGGCAACGTGAAATGCAGTTGGGCTAATGTTGGTTAAATCCGTCCAACTGCAGAGTTCCATCCCGATGAAAATGAGATTTAACCCGAGAGGAGCCTGTTCTTTCATCGTAATTTTGTGGCATGTTGGCATCCTTGTGTTCGAGTTTTGATTCGACTCTTAAATGCGTGCCAGTGCCGCTTGATGACGGCCTTTGAATTACTGCCTTTCCAAGTAGCAATTCAGTTAACAAGGACCCGTCAGTTACATTTTGCATGTTAAAAAGCCGAAAAAGTTGGGTGTATTTTCAAGTTGTGAATTTCGTCTGTTTGATTTGACAGTCAACGTTTTTGGATTGATCTCTGGATTTACCTATCCATGCGAGTGGTTGATTTCAAAGTAGTGCGTGTTTAAGTTATCTTTAATGCATTAATGGCATTCTGCTGCTGATTTCATACAAAAGATAATATCGTTGGACACCGTTTAGGTATGCTAAAAGGAACTATGTTGCGCAGAGACCGTATGCATGTAGTTCCTTTTGACATACATATTTTGACAATCACATAACTCGTTTGCGGTGTCTGAAAATCTCCGCCTCCATGCTATTTTTTTGAAGGAGAACAAATTGACATCATTTTTTGAAGTTTTTGCAGAATTTTTGTCGCAGAGAGAAGAAAAATCACGGCAGTTTTAAAGAATTGCCGTTGAGTAGTTTTCCGTTTAAAAAATAAAGTATGACAGGAAGCCTGCGACGTCGCAAACCGAGTTATGTCATTGCCAACTTACACCGTCGATATGTCCCGTTATAACCAACCTCAAGCACGGCTCACTGGCATCACTTTGCTCTTGTCACCTATCTGTCACTCGCCTCCAGACCCCCCCTCCTCTTAGATGGGTTACGTAATTAATGGACGATTATGAACGATTTATTTACGTTTGTAAGTATGTCTAAAATCTTCTCGTGTTAAATCGGAATCTATGATATGAACAGAGACAAGAGACCCTCCACCAGTATCTTGGCCATGGTGGAAGCTTTTACGTTCGGGACTTCAGCATTCTACCGTCGACTTACCTACATGGAAGTTGATGTTTAACAAAGTGTTGGCAGTTTTGTTCCGCAAACAAGCCGAATTTGGCCGAAGTTTGGTAAACTTGCTTGGCTCATGACGTCACCCGAAGCTCATCATCCACCATGTAGTTAGGTCAACAGCCGAAATGACTGTTGCTGCTCCCTTATAATTGTCCACAACACCGAAAAAAAATTGAAATTAATTTAACATTCTGGATGTAAAAAAAGTGTGCGAGAACTTACAAAATGCTAAAATACCGGCCACAGCAGTTACTTCAGCAATGCCAAGATGTAAAATTAAGTGCTGTGGCGGGTAATTCAGCATTTATAAGTTCTCGCACACTTTTTTTACATTCAGAATGTTAATTTAACTTCCTTTTTTTTTTTCGGTGAAGGAAGTGTTGAATCCCCGAAAGTAAAAGCTTCCACCTGTCGCAAAGAGGCCAGTGAAGGGTCTCTTGTCTCTAGATATGAAGTTCATAGAATCTTAAGGCCTGGATGCACGCTCAAACTTCTATCAATTTCCGGATCAAATGGTGACTGGTGCACACCATCTACCATCAAATTTTTGCAGCCTGCAAAAATTTGACCGCCATTTTTGGCATCATTTTGATCGGAAATTGACAGAAATTTGAGCGTGTATCCAGGCCTTTAGAATGCTTCTCGTTTTCGTTCCTTTCACATAACTTCATTCAAGTTTCTTTTCCAAATCGAACAACCTAAATACCTATTTTAAGTTTTATTTTGGAAATTAGTCGCAAGTTTTTTAAAACAACAAAAAAAAATCGAACAAAATGTGTTGATACAAGAATCATGACCTATATTCTGGTGGTTCATATTTACACTTTAGGTAAATAATAAATTATAAAATAAATTAAGTTGCTTATGAATACATGTGTTTACATTTAAAACAAAAACCAACAATAAATAATGACAACTAGTAGAAATGAATAATGTAACATCCTTATTTTTTATTTATCACAGCATCTGAAACTCTAGGATAGCAACCTAGAGTTTGCAGGAAATATAACACCTAATTAATACTATAAGTTTACAAATTAAAACAGAAATAAATAAATAAATAACTTAACCTTAAAATGAAATATAAATTAAATAGGAAGTTTTGATTTGAACAATTATGAAACACTATGAGATGGTAGGTACACAATTTGTTACGCGCAGTATTCAAACTCGGCTTTAATTTTAGAATATTTCTCTCAAAAAACATTCCTCATTTGCATTAAACCACAAGCTGTTCCTGAAAAAGTGGCTACTTTACAAAACTTTTGAAAGCTCATTTTCGTTTTTATAAAACAAAAATAAAAAATGATACTTCCACGAGAGAGAAAATTGAAGGAAGTTTTACTCGGGATCAGATTTTCTTTCCTTTCTAGCTGATATACGTACATCCGCCCACATTCATCCTGTCACGTCATAAGAGGCGTAAACATTGTATTGCGTCCGGTTCAAAATTATGCAAATCTCACACGGTTACGTGCCTTGGTGTAGGTGAGAATTAGAATGAAAGTTGGAATTTAGGTGGGTGCACTTCAATAAGAAAAGCTGGATGCCATTTCGTCGAGTTCTTTATCATCATCTTCTTCACTGAGCGTCATTAGACTGTCCAAGACTCCCTCGTTTCCGGCGGTAAAAAGCACGAGTCCAGCCTTAGGACGCAGCTTAATTTTGTCTGCGAGTAATTTACGCCTGAAAAAAAAACAATTATTCCTGTTAAAGATAGTATGAAACAATTTTTTCTTGCATTAATGCCTTGCTTGCGGGAGGAGAGAGTAGTAAGGAAGGGGTTTTTCGAGTTCAGAGCTGTAACCAGAATCAGTTCTACCCTGGTAATAATTGGCGATAAGAGCTGCGTTTCAAAATACCGTAGGAATTCTTATAGCCGGCTAAAGAAGGCTACAGAAAATCATATAGCTGGCTGTAGAATGCGGAGAAAATCATACGGCCAGGCTATACGGAGCGATAAAAAATTATGCAGCCGGGCTATAGTTCCTATCGCCGGGCTTTACACTTAATCGCCTGGCTGTTGCTTTTTCGCCATCGATTATAAGAGGCTATAAGAAATTATGTAGAAATTCATGTGCTTTGGAAATCATTAAGTTTGATACGGAACCACCTTAATATTTACAAAACACACATAATATTTTCCTTTAATACATATTTTTTTTCATCAAATAAAATGAGAACAATCCATACAGGATGTGCAAACATTTCAAAATCATGAGATGAATAACGCTGACTCCGCCAGATTAAATATTAGAGCCTAACACAAAGCGGAGCGGCGACGCACTGGCGCCTACAAACCTAACAGGGATACTTCACGCATTGCGCAACGCGTGAAGTATCCCTGTTAGGTTTGTAGGCGCCAAAGCGCGTTTCGCGCTAGCTGCCCGCCTGCCGCGCCACGGCGCTTGAAGCAACTATTTCTCACCAGAGGTATTGCACAGTATTATACGAAACTACAGACGCTATAATATGTATATTAGGAATGGCAGGCATCCATCAAAAGTACGGAGCTTTCCTCGCAAAATAAATCAAGATACTACGGCCCAAAAAGAGAGCAGTAGTCAAAAAACTCACTAAGTCCTAGCATCCGTAATTAGTAACGTTTAGCATACACTTTATCACCTGGCTGAAATTGTGTAGCCGGCTATAGAAGCTATTGGAAATCTTACAGCCGGCTGTAGGTCTATGGTATTTTGGAACACAGATTCTACTGTCAATTTTTACCAGGGTATAACTTTTCGGCTCGGTGAAAATTTATCGAAAATGAAGTGATCCCCCTAGTAAGTAAAATTTCAAGGACAACCAAAAAGAAGCTTTCGATTTCAAACAAACTCCTCAATTTCATTTATTATGAATTACGCTGAGATAAATTTGTACTTTATTGAAAGATTGCGTTAGATATTAAAGAGAACGATCAAAAGGGCTTCCAAAGAGAGGAGAAATGAAATATGAATTGGATATCATTTAAAGGAAAAAAATTATCTGTTGATTTTTCCCCATTAGAAAAACCAAATACAGTATTGCCCGTGCAAACATAAAATACTTTTCAAATATGTGAAAACTCACCCTTGTGTGTATCCTGAGTTTATGCTCGCTGAATAGACCGTCAAATATTTCGGCAGTGATCCTTTTTTCTGAAGACCTTCAGTCGTTTCGATCTCACTGCCAATGTTGACCACAACAACGTAGGTAGGGTTCTTTTCATAGCTCCTTAAATCATAAAAATGTAAGCAAATTCCAATATTAAATTAATCAACATATGACCGATGAAAGTACTTATTGTGTACAAGAAAAATGATGTCGTTTCAGGAGAGCGGAGCACAAATAGTGGATGCCATAGCTTTTACAGCACTTTGTGCGGAACATTTAAATGTAACGATCAAAGATACGTGAAAATATTTTTCACCAACTCAGAGCGATGCAACGTCACATTGATGCTAACAGCTGAATGCAACCAGTGGCGTGGCGCGCTTTGCGATATATCGATTGATATGCCATTTAAACCTATGGAAAAGAATCGATAAACGGGGCGTTCGCAGCGAACGCCTTACTAACCGATTCTTTACCATAGCTTCAAATGGGGGAATATCGATAATCGATATTCACGCCTCGCCACTGAATGCAACTACTCGGCCTTCAGGGACGTTCTTGTTGCATACAGAATAAACTGAAGGCGCTTTGCCTTTTCTTGAACCGCGACAATGCGCCGCGCCGCACAGTGGATCGAGTTAGTGAGGGAGGTCGGACAAAATTTGGAAACTTTGAAAGCTTTTAACTCCGTTCATACACAACTTTGAGGTTTTAAAAGTTGTTACAATGGTTTTCTCGCGAAATTTTCTTTCAGAAACACCCCATATAATTTAAAATGTGACGAATTAAACATCAAAAGTTGCAGGTTTAGTTAAAAAGTTCATGTTCGAACTCTGGTTGACTCGCTCCACTGAGAGTCGCTGTAAGTCTTCAACAATGCATATAAAGAGCGCTGATGCAATTATTAAAGAAAAACTGCAGACCCTCTTCCTCAAATTAACCGGAACTTACATTTCAACAACATCCGTCTAAACCTTTGAACAATATACAGCATGAAATATATGCATTTACCTTATTCGAGTATGATAGGTCAACGGAATGTTTGTTGTTGGGGTCGCATGCAAATCCATTTACCGTGGATAAACAATTTAGACCAAAAATAATGTCTTCAATGAACGAGCTTTGTGAACATAAATTGAATTATTGCCGTACCTAGTGAAAGCTAGAACGTATTTAGACAGAGCGAATACATTCAGATCTCCATGCTGGATTGTTGCTGCCTCTTTGAGCGCTACGAGTTGTTGGTAGACCCTGAAGTGACTGCGAATTTCTCTCTTGACATTCCTGTAGTTCAAACGCCAGTAATTCGGATTTACGGGCAACCAGGTTTTTGGATTCGTTGAAAAACCTGTAAAATTAATCATAAAAAATCATTTAGCTTTTACCCCAAAATTTACATTCCCAGGACCAATCGTTTATAGACAGTGTTTTACCACGCTTTCAAACATTTCTCAACGTTGCATAAGCTTTAATTTGGCCCTAATGTTTGATGCTTTGTGCAAAAAGATTGTTTAAAGTATTAAAATAAGAAATGAAAAAAAGGAAATAAAACTGAAATCAGTGAAACTGCATAGCGCCTAAAATCTCTGAAACTTTACAAGCTTATTTGTACTTAGTGACATTTGATGCAGCGGAAAATTTCCCTCACTTACGTTTTGACACATCCTCAATTAAATAACCTAAACATCCGAGTTTGACTGACCAGAAATTCTATTCAGCACGATTCCAAGTGCTTTTTTAGTTCGATTGTCAATGAAAAAATATATGTCGATGGTGAAACTACCAAATCACGTATTTCGGTTTGCGACGTTTCAGACTTCCTGCCATCCTCGATTTTTTAAATGAAAAACTACTCAACATCAATTGTTGAAAACTTCCTCGATTTTTCTTTTCCAAGTGAAGAAAACTCAGCGTGAACTTCAAGGAATGATACCGATTTGTTCTCGTTCAAATATATAAAATGGTAGCGGAGATTTTTAAACAGCGCCAACCATGGCCGGATTCACCTACTTGCCGCGCATGGGCCGCCTGTATTTTGCCACCCCCTTCTCATTCGTTTTGAAACTCGATGAAAACCATCAAATCAATGTGTCAGCGGGGGAGGGGTGCATAAGACGCATTTACTCGTGTTGAACACATATTTTGGGAAAGCCCTGTCAACACTACTAGTTTGCGCGCAAGTTAAGTTCCGTAAACCTATTTCTGTGTGGACAAGGCCTTCCATTCATAAGGAATGAACGAAAAAATTATGAAAGAACAAACATAAATGGACCGAGTTTAACAGAAAGGAACCAAGCCACATCAGCTATTGCCAAGTTTAACCGGACAATTAAATTTTTTACGAGATAACGTTTGTTCGGATTCCTTTGAACATTCCGAGGAATTAGCCTCGTATTATGGAGAAAATTTACTGAAATTTGCAGAAAAATCCGCTCAACCGTTTTCATGTAAAAAATTAGATTGCCCAATTAAATTTGGCAATAGCTGATGTGGCTTGGTTCCTTTCTGTTTAACGCGGTCCAAATGTGGATCAATGATTTTAACTTCCGCCGCCGACCGCTCCTAAACGCATTGTGTTGGACGCAACGCGTGAAGTATTCATGCAGTCTTGTAGGCGCTATGCGTTTCACGCTGACCGCAATGACCGTACTGTGTTTGACGCAATGCGTGAAGTATTCGTGCAGTCTTGTAGGCGCTAATACGTGTTACATGCCGATCGCCGCACCGAGGGCTTCTCCTTTTCATCTCAAGTCCTCGTTATCATTTCTCTTTAAGTCGCGCCGTTCCAGGCCAAATTGCGTGTTTGGTCTCCCCCTTAACTCGACTTATTGAAGGTGCTGTCTCTTGTATCACTAAGAAACAACAAAATTAGAAATTACTATACTCTCAGGAAATGAGAGATTTTGTCGCCTTTTCTCGTTTGTAATTTTGTTTTTATAAATCCGGTTTTTTTCATACCTACAATTTAAAAAAATTTCAAATTTTTGCCGCCCCGTAGATTTGCTGCCATGGGCCGCGGCCCATGTGGCCACCCCCTTAATCCGGTCCTGGCGCCAACGAGATATACGGGGTCTGGTAGTTTCACCGTCGATATGTTAAGTTGCATTCTGTAAATTTTGGTTAAATGTTGCATATTGGTTTTGAAACTGGTAATTCCAAAAATACACGTTCGTACCAAATGTTCTGCGATTCAGACTGATATTATCTAAAATCTTGAGAGAATAGCTTCATCTGCCGCGATACTCATCAAGTTAGCATGTTGTTAGTATCAATTGGACTACATTTTGCAATTTGGAGCTATAAATTCTCTAGCCTGGTTAAAAAACGACGTATGTGCCACTAGTTTCCCTATTCACATAAGTGTTTTTCCAGAAGAGCCAGAATTTATAGTTCCAAATTGCAAAACGCAGTCCAATTTATTGATTTCCAATCAAATATGATATTTTACCTGCGCTAGTCGTGTGATCCCACTGGAATGGTGTTCGCTGAGGATCTCTTGTGAATCTGAGGTAGTTATCTTTCCCAACGCTCATTCCTTGTGGGTCAACGGTTTGATCCCATCGGATAAACGTATCCTCCATCCCAATTTCGTCTCCGTTATACGTCACTGAAGTACCTGGCAAGACCATCTGAATCATGTGTAGACCATCAAGTAACTCGATACCAAACCGTGATGCAACTCTCCTTTGATCATGGTTACCCATCTAGAAAATTAAATGTAATATAAAAAACCATGACAGAATAGGGAAAAGTATCTTCCCATCAAACAACATTATTTATTTTTAAAGTAGACCTTATAAAAGTTTTAAAAAAAACCTTCATAGTTGTTAATGTATGTATATTCGAAAAAAACCTTTAAGGAAGGAAAAAGGTTCGATTTCATCGATTCGCTAACAAAACACGTTAAACAAGTTTCTGGACACTATAAAAGAACTTACGGAGCTCACTGTTTGCCACACATTATAAGAAGAATGAAGATACGTTTAAGTGAGTAAAATTGCATAGATCGTGGAATGAAGGCGTTTTGTAACTGATAGAAAAATTAGAGGAATTGCGAATATTTTCTTCTTCCTCCTTATGCCAAATCTGATTTATATTTCCTGATCTGAATCTGATCTATATTTCCTGATCTGAATCTGATCTATATTCCCTTATACAAATTCTCAAATTTTTTATTCATCGCTTGTTTTGTCATCTTGTATGTCTGATGGTGATTTATAGTTTTTAAAGTAAACGACGAATCAAATTGCTTTATTCAAATGCACTTACCACCCAATTAGGCCATTTTCCAGCGGGTAAATTGTCGTACCATTTCATGATAACTTTTTCAAAATCATTGGCAGTAGATTGAGCGTTCAGGTCCGTAATGAAAAGGAAGTTGAAAGTGAAATGAGCTCCAGGGTGTGTTGTGTTTCCGTAGTAGCCCATTGTTTTGTCGATTGGTGAATATGCTTCAGTCATCATAACCCTGCAAAATCATTGATGAGTAAGTAACATTGTGATCTTTCAACGTCAAAAAAGTTAACATGCAAGTGCTCTGAGATGTTAAAATTGATATCACAGAAGCATGTGTGAACTTTACAAATGAATCGGGACCTGCGGAAACCGCTAATGTACATTTTTCCGGTTCTAAGTTTTTTTGAGTTCATAATACTTTTCGGAGTTGGTTGCAACCACGAAAAAGCATTAAGACTAGTCTTCCGTTTTCCTTAATCCCAGTACGAGTCCTTTCATCACTTTTATTGTTGCATCAACTCTTTTAAAGTATTATGAACTCAAAAAAACTTAAGACTGGAGAAATGAACATTAGCGATTTTCAAAGGTCTCATTTAAATCAAATGTAAAATTAAGGTATGATGAATTTCTTTTCACACAAATTTGAAAAATTCACGCTACTTAAATATGAAAATATTATCTTATACAGGAGAAAATCAAGCGTAAAAAAGCAATTATGATCATAAAACTTTCTTGAAAATGTTTTTTAACCGATGAAAATACCAGGCTGAAGTTTTTGAATTAATGGTAGATGAATAAACTATTAATATATTCTAAGAAGTACCTATTAATTATTTAAGTCTTCGGAAAACTTGAAATAGGTGGAAAAAACCTGGTCACTTATATGATTAGGACGCTTAATAGGAATTCACGCAAATACTAGAAAACAAATTTTGTAAATTCAAAATAGCCACAAAATATTTTAAAAAAGAGATCATATACTTCAAGTTAATGATGACTTTTAAGACTCATTTTAACGTATTGGTTAAAACTTGGTCAGGTTTGGTTAGAAACTAGTAAGATACGCGTTAATTTTAAAATTAACGTGTTTCTCTCTAATTTAAAATAATAGCACATTCAAAGAGGAACTCAGAGATAGTAAAAAAAAACTTGGTAGATTATCCTGTCTTTGAGTTGACTTTAATAATTTTTTCTTACATCAATTTGTGTATTCCTCTTCTTTAGAGTCACTTCTCAAGCGTTAAGTCGTTTCTAGGGAAAAAATTAAAATATTTTCATCATCTAACCTAGGGTGTCCGTCTTTCTTCGTGTATTCGTCGAGGACTTTTCTCCACTGTTTAATCATGTCGTAAGTCTCAGGTTGATCGGCAATGTAGATGTGTTGGTGATAGTCGTGGTTCCATGGTTCCAAAGTGGTGCCATCTACCGGTGGCTCGTCTAAGAATCTCTCGTCCTCGAACAACGCTAGTACGATATCCATTCGAAAACCGTCCACACCTCTATCCAGCCAAAACCGCAATATATTCTATAATTTTAAACACAGGTGAAACCATTACATCAGCATGAAGGAGCATAAGAAATCAGAGAGGTTGGGGTGTAAGCATCGACATACTTAGACATAATACTGGATCATCGTAATAGAGTCATTTTTCCCAGACCCCAGCAACAAAGCACATAAGATATATGCCTCAAACCATTATTTTTAATTCAGTTCCGTACAAATAATACACTGGTGTGGAGCAAATTGTACAAGGGCCGTAAATGCAAAGTAAAAGTCAAATATATTTCCTCGGGGACTATTCCTACTCGGCATAACCAGTAATTCACACGAGGAATGCTGGAGGTAGTGGTAGCCGTTAAAAAAAGTTAACATTTATCTTGAATTCAAGAACATTTGTGAAAGAGCAACCACGCAGGATGTACCGATGATTGGAAAATTTCATCATTTTTTCAGTTTTCAATTATTAAGGTACATAGTCCGCCAAAAAAAACTAGTAAGGCGTTATAGGAACAAATCACAAGTTGAACTTCGGCGCGTATGATGAAAGTAGTTTATTTTGGAAATGTCACTTATAAATCGCCTTCATTTCTGCATGATGCGATTTTTCTTACACGCGGGTTGGAATAGTTAATCGAATTATGAGTCAACGATTGATTTTATTGCGAAAGAGAGTAAATCGTATCTAAGAAGAAAACTAAGTAGGATCTCATTACCTACTCGATTGTGAAGAGTATTGGCATACTTCAAAAAACTAATTAAGCTAAACGGACTAAATTATGGGCAATGGTGAGAGTATCCGTACCTTCATCTCTTCAACAAGGTATGGGCTGCGGTAGTTGAGATCAGGCTGTTTCTTGTGGAACTGATGAAGGTAGTACTGCTGTCTCTCAGGGTGCCATTCCCAAGCTGAGTAGCTGAATCCGGAGATCTGAAAGACACGATAATCACCATCATTGAAACACGATTTCGCGTAAATACAAAGATAAACTATCTTAAATATTTTTTTGAGTGAGTTCATGGTCACTTTGTCAAGTGATTATCAATGTTGAATTAAAACTTACTTTTTAGTCTTCGGTCCTAATGTGTTAGCACAGACACAGTCCTGATATGTGCAACACATCAGGACCGAACACTAAACAGCAAGTTTTAATTAAATATCTTAAATATCCTAGAATGCAAAAGTTACTGCAGTGGAATATACATGTTCTTTTACTCTACTTGACGAACATGTAACAAGTAAATTGCGAAGCCAGTGGTGGCATTTGCTATCGCCGCGATTGCGGGCTAGAGGTGGCCATTCGATTTGTTTTAGATTCGAACATGTTACATGAACTTTAATGGGTTTAACTCCTACCTTTGCCCAATTGTGATTAATTAATAGTTTCCTTAAAAAATATGTTGAATTGGCCAAACAAATCAGACAGCAAAACTAATCATTCGTCGTAAATTAGCCAAGATCGACGCTATACTGATCTCTAAGAGAACCTTTTACGGTCATTGGTAGGCTATTGATCCGAAATGTTGGTGTACCTAGTCGCATCTGCCTGAGCTGAACAGCCCCCTCCCCCTTAATTTTGCCTGCTGGAAACTAAGTTTGCAGTCTTGCACTAATACTCAGTAGAAATCAAATTTTTTACTCTGATTGAAATCTTTGGGATTTTGTGGCCTTGACTTCTTCTTAGAATAATATGGACCCAGCATTATTCTACCACTACCACGACTATTGAGTCACTTATACAGTTCGGGCCACATTTTTAGTGTTTTTTATTTCTTGACTTACCCAGTTGTTGGGTGGTTGTCTAGTTCCATTCACCATTTTGCCATCGTGCCAGACGTAATAATCTGTGTATGGGTCGATCTTTTGGACGGATTTTACGAACCACTCGTGCTCATCGCTCGAATGATTTGGCACAAAATCGAGAATAAGTTTTATATCTGAAATAATGAATTAGAAGAGCAAGTGTTAGCGTATTGTTAGCATTCCTAATTAAGTACACCCTTTCGCGTATCCCATTGAAATAGCGGTCAAATTTCGGTCAGTGATGAACAGTATGGCTTGACTATACTGAAAGTACCTGCAGCTAATCTTTTGTGCTTGACACTCTGTACTCTTTTGTTACTCACTCTGTACATTGTACGCGTTACCCCCCCCCCCATGCATTAGGTACAACTAGTCCAAGCTCTCTCGTCTTCCAAATTTAAATATATGTCCGAGAGATTTACGTGGTCAACTAATTAAGCTACTGGGACTTCTTCCTGCTGAAAGGTCCAAAGAATTTGAATGAATAAAAAAAAAAAAATACAAGGCATACGTCTCGTTCAAAATTATCTCATCGGGTTACCCGCGCAAAATGACTCAAATTCTTCAGAACCAGTACGTTATTACAATATACATGTTAACGAATGTTTTATTAACGTCGTCCGAGCCGCATTACCAATCACTGATATAATTACCTGTCAAAAGTCAAATACTAACTTTGAACACGTACAGTGAACTCAAGAAGTTACCTACACACGATTATCGGAAGTATGTCGGAAGTTACAAGCAACAGTGCCATAACACTTTAAGAGTTGCGTTGGAGCTCACATGAATAAATTTTAACATGGCTGCCAGAAAGAACTATCGAATAATCTTTTTTCTTCGCTACATCCGTGCAAAACCCGCAACTTTTGCGTACATTCTGATAAGCCTGATATCGTTTCCCAGGACATTCCGCTGTTACTTTTAATTGTTACGTTTATTGGATATTTTCTAGGTAAAATGCATTGCATACGAATTGCACTTTTGTAACCTTACATAAGGCAGATGCTTGGTAAAATGGATGACCTCTATATTTACACAGTTTGTGCCCTTGAAGTTTATGCGAAGTTACGGTGGTCAGACTTATTCACTGAAAAAAGCGACCTAATTATTTGTCCCTTCATTTGCTCTTTTTCTGATACACAGTTTCCTCATCTACCTGATTACGACAGCCTGGGGTTAATTCGTGGTATTACCTAATGAAAAAATGCCGATAAATTTAGTAAATATTTAAACGTAGGTACTTAAACGACTAATATTACAGAATGTTCAGAAGAAAAAAAGTTTGATGAAGGACTTTTCTGAAATGTCAACACGGAAAAAAAGTGTAGGGGTTATCCTCTTAAAATTGTGGCACTACCACAATTTGTTGTAGGATGCGGACATTTCTAATTAATTGCGGTAGAATCGCAACTCAAGTCCGGGTAGTACCGCAACATTTGGGTTAGTAACCTAATGTATTTGGGTACGACTACGATTAATTCGTGTACTACCACAATTAATTGGAAATGTCCATATCACACAACAAACTCGTGCATTTTTTTATCCGCTGAAATAAAAACAAGTTTGCTACACCATTTTCATTGGATTCCTTTAGAGCGCGAAGAACGCGGTCATGAACACGGTGATGAAATAACGGGGGAAAATCCTTACCTTGAGCGTGCAAAGCATCCTTGAGTTTTTCAAAATCAGTCATTGAACCGAAGATAGGTTCAATATTGGTGAAGTTTGATATGTCGTAACCAAAATCGGCCATCGGCGACTGGAATATCGGCGAAAGCCATACCGCACCGACTCCGAGCTTTTTGAGGTATGGAACTTTTTCTGCTATACCTGGTCATAAATGAAATCACGGTAAACATTAGAAAATAAATTTAAACATGTCACTCATTAATTTTGACGACGGATTGTGGGGGGATAGGGCACTGTGGCGGTTGGGCGTCACAGAGCGCCAGGGAGCGCTAGAGAGCGTTGCGAAAGTTACCTCATGTATGTTAGACAAAATAATCAAAATTACCTCTTAAATCGCCGACACCATCTCCGTCACTGTCTTTGAAGGACCTCGGGTAGATTTGATAGATCACTGACGTCTGCCACCAATCCATGGGAGCTGGTTTTTGTCCTTGAACCAGCAGACATATCGCCGAAAATATCAAAAATTGCAACATCTGCACACAAAAAACAAACAAATGTTCAAAATAATAGAAAAGATTGTACAATCTAAAGGAAAAAGTACACGCACACAAAAAATATTGCAATTGTAATCATCCTCTTTGATGAAGGAGGAAAAACGAAGTGTGGACTGGTTTAACAGAGAGAATTTTTCAATCCGTTTCTAAAAAAAAAAAAATTAAATTAATAACTGAGTTATGAGTTTTATCAGTCCCTACGGATGCTCTTTACATTTTTCTGTCAAAATATCAAAGCGTAAGCAAAATGCTTAGGACTACTGCTTGGAAGTAAGTATTATTTTTACATTTCGCCAAATAGGAGAAGACAGCCTACCGCCGATTTCTTCAGGTTTTATCATAATAGTATATCAGTGCCTCTCTTCCAAATTTGGTCCACGTGTATTAATAATTCATATCGGACTGAAAATGGGAAAAAATCATCCTCAAATAAAAGAACTTCAATTCTGACAATTTTGGGCCGTTTGTTCTGTAAAATTACAATCCGAGAATTCATTATCACCTATTTTCGTCAGAAATAAGGGCTTAAACTTTAAAAAAAAATTAAGTATGTTTTATTCGAAACACGAAAGTTATAGGAGCACCTAGTATACTTTTGAAAATATTTATTCGATTACGAAAATGAAAGGTAAAATATGAAATACAAATCTGCGAAATCAGTGATTAAGATACACGTTTTGTATGATTTGCACTATTGATTTTAGCTCACGTCATTCCCTCTTTCACACAGTGAAACTACACGACTGAACGTAAACATTTTGCTCACTAGCGGTTTGCAATATAATGTCTTGATGGACGAAATGCCGTTGCTACTCCAGTAAGCACCCATTGAGCCTGAACAGGTCGCATGGCGAACGCAACGAGACCATGAATCGAGATCGTGTTGTCAAATGTTTTCCGTCAGCAATATTTTGAGACAATGGACACTTTTATGAGAATCTTCATCTGTTCAAATGGGGTCTAGATTGAAAAATTCCCTCTCGAAAATTATTTGCCAAAATATTTTTAACATAAAGTGCGGTATTTTTACATTTACTTCCCCCATAATTAATAAGAGATAGAAATTTTAAAAAAAAATAGTAATCCTAAAACGATAACGCTCTGTGAGGCACTCCATACACTATTTAAACTTGTGTATTTTAGAGGAATATTTATCGCAAAAAGTGAGTTTGCGAACTTGAAACACTCATAAGATAATGCTTGAGCGTGTATCTCAACATCAGTTTATGAATTTAATACTGAAAATACGTATTTAAAATTCATTTTCGGCAATGTGCTTGGTATTGCTGGATTCAGAATTAGAACAGTGTTGAGAAATGGCCCTGGTGAGTTTTTAAATGAGTAATACTAATAGTAGGACTTGAATAAGAAAAAAGTCTTCAAATTTAAAGGTTACAACACGTGAAAAAATTGTTAAAGTAAGTATACAAATAATGAAACCGTTTTATAGTTTTTTATGTACAAATTTCATTTCGATTTTTAAAGTTTGCATCAGTGAATTTTCATATGAGTTTTATTCAGGCACAATTTTGTATTAGGTGTATTTTGCACCATTACTTAGTAATTTACATCAATGTACATGATTATTGGAATTTGGCAAAATTTTGATTTATTTTTCAAACATACTAACCCTTTTCACATTAAAGCTACGAATAAAAAGCATAGAAATCCTCAAGCGTTTCCTAATTCGTAAATTTCAACTTTTTTATTTTTTTCTAAGTCCGATGATTGCAATAGTCACTGCCGATGGGAAAATTTTATCTGCACAACAGATTCTCAATACTCGACGCATTTGTAGGAATTTGCTGGACACAATAGTAATAACACACAAGTGGTCATTCTCATTCATTTTTCTTAAGCTCACTGGAAAAAAAAACACATTCGATCTAGAGTCCGGACTCTTAAAAACATCGACAAATAAAATACTCTTGATTCAATCGGATTTTAGCTCAAATCAAAAACCAAGCCTCTTAATTTGAGCGGATTTTCTTTTAATTTAAGCAAAAATCTGATTGAATCAAGAGTATTTTTTCTTGTCAATGTTTTCAAGAGTCTGGACTCTAGATCCAATGTGTTTTTTTTTTCAGTGCTGGAAGGGAAAAAACGGGTTCTCTAAAATAATTTGATTCTGTGTGGACGAGATTTAGCAACAATGAGGAATAGTATCGGTTACGAGCTGATTCACGAGTGGAGATTTTCATTTCAACGACTAATCGACATTCTCAAGGAAGACACTGATGCGACGCATCGAGGCATTTTAATTTTCCATCGGAAGCAATGCCACATCTAGATACTATGAGGTCATTACCATAGCACAGTGGAGCCTGAGGATGGGCGTAGGTCGCACTAATTCGATAGAGGACCAATTATCTCTCCTTGATGCTCTGAAAATCCGGAGGGAAAAGGTAGGCATTGATTTTGACGAACAGGAACAATTAAAAGATTCCTTCAAGCCTGCCGTTTGGCACTTTCTACCCGCGCCTCCGGTTTCTTCTCCAATTATGAGATTATCGGTGGTTTCACAGCGTCAAACTTCAGCAATTTTATTTAATAAGTAATTATTGGCACTTTTACAGTAATTATTTGAGCTTGCTAACTCTCAATATTAGCCTTGGAGCCGGCATCCATTTGTAAATTGACTTTCTTTTTCCGCGTTAAAATGATATCGGTAATGAGCAGTGGCGTGGCGTGAATTGCGATATATCGATTGTTATGTCATTTAAACCTTTGGTAAAGAATCGATTATTAAGGTGTTCGCTGCGAACACCCTGTTTATCGATCCTTTTTCATAGGTTTAAGTGGCATAATAATCGATATATCGCAATTCACGCCCCGCCACTGGTAATGAGCGACACGTCCCCTCGGAGCGGCTCATTGAAAGTTTAAAACAATACTATAAGATATTGAAATTCACAACATCCCATGGTTAACATGAGGCTATGCCTGGCCTTGTCGGGTCGACATAGTTCAAAAATTGGGAACTTTTGTCAGGACAGGACTTTCATCCGATGGGTCTAATAGAAATGAGTCTCATGTTAAACTTTTTTCATCCCATTTTCTGGGTTTAGTGCCCTAAATTTAGATCGAGATTTATAGAATTCTCCATTTTTTGTGGGTGTTCCGATAAACTTAGCGGTACCTTGATTGCGACATTTCGAATTGCCACCCATACCTCAATCAAATGGAGGAAAGTCTGCCGATGACCTCAAAATTCAATGATTTTTTTTCTTTCATTTTTTTTCATTTTCCTAATCAATTAGCTTGCAGAGTGATGTTCACCTCTTGTATGAAGGATAATTCAATAAGATACCTAATTATGTATCATGACTACAATTAAAATTCTATAAGGCTATTTGGGGGGGGGGGGAGGCAATTCAATATTTTTAGGTTAAAGATTTTTTCAAATAATATTTCGTAAAGAAGAAAGAGTCAAGCTTCCCTCCTAAGAATGTCTGCAGATGTAAATCTCCTTTTTTTGTGTGCGTGTCAATCATGTCATCAACTTACACGTGGAATCTGGTTCGATTCCTGATAAACATGATTTGAGATGAAAAAGCTAACCTACATCTCTGTTTTTCACAATCCACGAACAAAATGTTACCATAAGGGTAAGTCTGTGCATGTACATCACATAGATGTACCAAAAATCTCAGGACAGTCACTTGAAAATAAAGAAAAATAAAATAAAAATAAAACACACGAGCAGGAATAGTTTATAATAGCACAGATGTCCAAATCCATTGGAATTTTATACATCAATCATTATCTCTGAAAAGTGAAGATGTAATATTCCTTATTTGCTTTTTCGCGCATACCTCTTTTCACACGATATAGCACTCATATAAGTACAGGGTAAAATTGGACTTCATTTTGCAATATGGAACTATAAATTCTAGCCCGGTCTAAAAGCAACGTATGAGCCATTAGTTTCCCTATGCAAATGAGTGTTTTTTCTGATAAACCAGAAATTGTAGTTCCGAATTACAAAATGCAGTCTAAATTAATCAGCGGCTTACATAAATGCCGTGAATGATACCTTCGGACCTTGTTTACAGGACTCTAACTAAACGAGACTAAAACACAAAATGACCAATTTGAAAATGATACCGCGTTAAATATGCCTAGCCGACGTAGAACTGACCGAGACTGATTGCTTTCATTATGATTTAAGCATGAACAAGTCTAACGATCATCGAGTTACTGATCGGTATGGAAGTATTTTGGCGGCTTGTCAAGACCCATTGTCAATGGAGCAGAGACTGACCCTCTGGTCGTCATTACTGGATTCACTGTCAAAGTCATTTTTGGTGGGCATATAAAAATGCCTTCTTTGGTAGCCCGCTTGGATTTCAGCTGAGTACAAGTAAGATTCTTTCATAGAAAGAGCTTTAAGGGGCACATGCACTGCCGTTAAATGCTCTCTCTCGCAAAGAATAATCGGTTGTGAAACATTTCGGAGGCGTCGCACAGTGGATCAAGTCAATGGGAGAGGTCGGACAAAATTTGGAAACTTTAAACGCTTGCAACTCCGTTTTTACAAAACTTTGGAGTTCTAAAAGCGATTCCGTGAAATTTTCTTTTCACAGCACCTCTTGAAATTCAAAATGTGACGTATTAAACATCAAAATTACCAGTTTTTGTCAAAAACTTCATGTCCGACCACTCTAATTGACTTGATCCACTGTGCGTTTTCCTCCTAGCAACTCTCTAATTGCATCGCTGAGATGGGTTGCGATAGAGGTAAAAAGATACTATCTCAAAGCCAACCCGAAGACTAGTCAAAAAAATCAAAACAGCACATACTAAAGTAACCGATATATCGTTGGGTATTACCCCTTGAGTGGACCTTGATTTTTTGGCGAGCGTATAAATTTGCGGACACTGAACGTGTTCTTCCGTCACATCTTAATTGGATGCCGGAATGTACAAAGTGACCACCGCGGTCTGCGCGACATTTTTATGAGGACTTGTGTACAGATTGATGCAAAGTTTCCGCACCACCTGAAAACTTCAAGAGTTCTTACCCCTCCTTACGGTGGACCGCTCAAAATTTTAGGGGGTAGACAATTACTTTCCTTTAACCTAGGAGCACTCACATGACTTCAAGTCTTCATCACAATTTTTTGAAAAGTTACAGAGATGATGCCTGAAAGTTGGCAATGCGGAACTTTTGGATCACCCTGTACGTTGGTCCAAGACATTCTAACAAATTGGACCTTTCGATAGACGCAAGAGAATAAAGTCAACTGATGGGAATCGAACCATATGGATCAAAACGGACCATACGAGCCATCGGTTGCTCTTCAACAGCTTGAGAGCAAATGTATGCCACTTTTTTCTTAATTAATCATTGTTATGAGCTTCATAACAGTTGATGTGCCAAAAATCGCCAAAGTGCTAATTTTTGACATTTTCTCTTAAAAGTTCGGGCAATTTCGCGAGTCAATGATGAATAGTGCAGAGAGAACAGGAATAATTGATTTCTCTCTCAAGAGCGAGTTTTCGAGACAACAGTCTCATTGCAAACCATTTTAAGCTTCAAAATTTGGCTCATCTACCACACTCGCAACTATGTGAGCATGCACACGCCAATTAATAATTGTGCTACTTAGATTCTGACCTTGTTTCCAGGTCCATCCCCTCAATAGATATCTTATTCATATTTGATGAAAGTCTACCATATCTTTGATCTTTTGAATAGTATTATTTTACTAACAACAAACGTTATACAACGTATATTAACGTAATACAATCGCGGCTAG